TGCCCGATAGAACGCCTTTGGCGAAAGCAAACGCGCCCTTTCGCGACGCCGTACGTCGCGGCACTGCGAGGCGTCGCGACGCCTCAGCCCATTCGAGATCGGCGCAAGGCTCTTCGCAAGTACGCGCCGACGCACTAAATCCAGATCACAGGAGCCACTTTCATCTTCCGTCGAAATGATTGGCTCCTCCTTTAATTTCCTTTCGCTATTAAGGTGATATGAAAGTGTGATATATACATACCAAAAAATCAAAATATTTATAAAAGTTTCCTCCAAACTGAGTGTACCGAATCATTTGAAACGTCAGCACGTGATGATGGAGGTCCTAAGAAGGAACGTGGTGTTCGTGAATTTTCATTTTTAATAACATTTTTTTTTATTTATCCTAGACTAGAACCAGAAATACATACTTTTTTTTTTAAATTAAATTTCATAAGCACCACGTTCTTCCCTAGGGCCTCCATAACCACGTGCTGAAGTTTCAAATGATTCGATGCATCCAGTCTGGAGATAAGTTTAATAAATATTTTGACGTTTTGTGTAATAACCCTTTCATATCACCTTAAATTAAAAATAAACGCGTAATTATATACGTTTACAAAATGTACGATATTCGTTAAATGTATAGAAAATATATGAGAATTATTTTGTGTTACTAGGGTTTAGTCTAGTCGTGCCAGATTGCAAGAACGACCAGTTGGCTACTTCTAAAGACCTGCTTACCGAGCATATCCTGCGGAAGGATAACGCACGTAGGAAAGTATCAAGACGTACTTGCGAGGATCTACACGCAATAGCGTATAATTGTGTGAAAACGAATCGCGGAGCAACGATACTCGGAAAAGGCGCCTCGACGTGTCGCCAAGACACCGAGGAAACAAGTTCATTAACGATTTCGCTCAAAGGAAAAGGATTCTCGGCCATTCCAACGGAGTTCGGGACTCCAGCTGACACCAGGAATGTAGAACGAAGCAGGAAGGTAAAAGGATACTGAATATCGCATATATACCTGAGCGCACCGTACGGGGAGAATTGGCGAATCGCTGCGCAGCCTTGAGAGCCGTGCAACGCGGAATCAACATCGGAATACTTTCCCAACCTGCGAATCCTCCGACAACATTTTTTTTTCAATCTCAAAAGATCCGAAGAACTCGCTTTTGTCCAATTTTCAATAGAAGTTATCGCCCCGTCCAGGCTGGGAATTCATTGCAATTTATTTCAAGCAAACTGATTCATGATGTTTCTACGCGGTGAATCAAGACACCTGTCTCCTGCGAAAACAAAATACCGGTAAAAAAAGGAATCTACGATCGAGTCAATGCATTTTGACAGTTAATTATACACTATAAGATGATACAACCCTAGGAGCTTTTTAACAAATGTTTAGAAATTATTCTGTGCGACTGGGGTATATATAAAAAATTCATAAATGTTCCGGAAAATTGCATTGGTGATCTTCGATTAAGAGAATGAGTTTTGAGGCCGAGCTCCCTGAATCATCCGAGTTGTAAACGAATGGTGCTATTACTGGAGAAGGCAGAGGAGGAGCAGGGCCGATAACATGCGCTTTACGTTAAGAGCATTCCGATAACAGTTTTGATTTATCTTATTTAAAAGCGACAGGACATGAATATAAGTTACTTTGAACAAACATATAACCAAATGTCTCGTCTGCTCTGCACTAACTTACGCCTTTCTTGCGTGGAAATCTGATCCGATTCTGTATAGTAGCAAAACGTGTGATTTCGATTTTAAATATTTTTAAAGCCTTTACAATGTATTCGGCAAATAATATTTAAAAAATACTTATATTAAAATGAAACGAAATGTTTTGCATGTCTATAAGGAAAACATTACGAAAACAAGTGGAGTTAATATTATACAAATAATATTCTAAAGTAAATGTTTCGCAAATATTTCGTGTCTACTGAATATTTACAAAATGTAGACAAATATTTTGTGCTACTAAGGAAACAATTGTTCTCACTATATTCTCCCCACTATACTTATCGTGTTAACCGGCATGATAAATTATCATGGTCAGGGTATCTGTAAGTATGATAAGCAATTAAAAAGTCGCATCAACGGTGTTTGTAGAATTCCGGAAAAACAGTTGCACGGAGTTTTCGTAACGTCTGTACTACCTGGGTTCGATAATGCAAAAGTAGAATGCCCATATGCAAATGGTGGCGATCGCTTCTATTTATACAAATGACTAAACAAGACAGTCACGCGATGAGCAGCCTGTCCTAGCTCATCGTGTATTTGTAATTACGTAATTATAAACTAATCGTGCAATCCAATTTCAAGACGTGCCGAGAAGTCCTTGGGAACTAATATTTGCCTGCCGTTCTGCTGCATCATGAATATTTTTCAACATTGTCACAAAAATATTACCTTTGATAACGGAGATCTGTTCTTCGACCGACTCGCATGGCAGTGGATCTTCGGAAATTTCTACGACCCACCGGATTTTTCTTCTCTGCATCTAACGAACCCAGAAACAAAGTACATTATTAAAAATATTCATAAAACCCATACGCTTTTATAATATAAGATTGTAGTAAAGTTATAAGCTTGGTCTTATCAGAGTGAATTAGGAAACATTTCTTACAAATTTCTAAATAAGCATCGTATATCACTTTATAAGTTCATGAAATTGTGTAAAAAATTTAAAACGCTCACGTACTAAATTTATGACATATGTGTATAAAATATATAAGTAAGTGTTATAAAACTAATACCCAATGTTTGAATAAAACTTCCAATGAAACGTTATTAAAGTACAATATTTCTTTTAACAATGTAGAGTCGGGACTTACATTTTTTTTCACTTACCATGAGAAACTCGAGAATGTTTTATTTACGTTTAAAGTCCTACATTTCCAACTTAGAAGTTCCTCCATTCCCGGTAACTCTTCATTCGGTTTAATTAAATTCAAACGTCGATGCGAAGTGAAATTATTACAAGGGGTTAAGCTAACTTTGGAACTCATCTCTTTCGTTACGAGTAATCACCATTTTAATCCGGTTCAATCCGATTATTCCTTAATCCTCCGATTTTTCATCCCAATTCGTATGCTTGCTCGTTTGATATTTGCATTACCCATTTCGCAGGATTTCCGAAATGGCTCGGCTGAATCCCCCGGATAGTTACTCTCCCTTAATTAGTAAAATTGAAAAGCCGCCACAACGGCTCAAGTCGATTTATCCAATTACGTCGTGGTTTCCGCTACGTAAATCCCGCCACCTTCATTACGAAATTGAACGCGCATGAATTGCCTCCTTCGACCTCGATTGAATTTCCCGTTAAATTGTGATCATAGTAAACAGTAGGTGTCGAATGATTCCTGGTATTTCGATCCAGCTATCATATTTGGTTTTATCTGGCCTAAAGACCGTATTCCATGATCTATCCTATTAAAAATATTCATAATATTCATGCACCATTAGTACATCATTACAAATTTCTAAATGAACTTATAATCCTATGACATCACGTTAAACCATTGTGAAACTGCATTCATACCCTTATGTACTGAACTTAATTCTATTCTATAAATTCTATAAATTTTTTGCAAATATATCATAAACTTATTATACCATGTCTGAATAAAACTTCCGTAAAGCCATTCCTTTTAACGGTCTAGTCTACATTTTTTCGATGCAGAGCCGAAGAATGAAGATCGAACGAATAACAGCTCGAAACCCGCGAAGGGGAGGGATGAAACCGTGATTTCGGAAAATACGAGCTCGGAGTGCATTTGCCGTTTCCTCGTCCGAACTATCCAATAAATCGAACGACACGCGGGAAATCCGATACCTTTAGAGCTTCCTCATGTTCACCGGTTCATCCAGCCTCGGGCCCTGGTCGATCGGCGCTCGTGAAATCGCTCGAACCCGAGTCCGGAGTTCATACGGAAGGTCGGGCACTCGCGCGACGATTGTCGAGAGCGCGCGATGCTCCGTCGGTCCGTCGGATGCGCGCGGCCGACCACCTCGACCAGCTGACAACGATTCGCTGTCAACGGAAATGACACGCGGCTCCCCGACGAGTACCTAGCCGCAGTCGGTGCGGGCCCGAGGCCCCGCAACACCTACGCGCGCTTCGTGCGCTGCTCCCGCAGGACCGCCCACGCGTGCTGCGCGCACTACACGCGCTTCGTGCGCTGCTCTTACGGATCGCCGCGACACCTACGCGCGCTGCACGCGCCGCGCGCGCTCTATCGCGGCACGCGCGCGATAATGAGCGAAACGCATCCTAGTCTTCTTAAAGTGATACGAAAGCGTGATATGCGCGTACCAAAAAATCAACATATTTATACAAATTTTCTCCAAACTGGGTGCACCGGATTATCTGAAACTTTAACACGTGGTTAGGAGGCTCTAAGGAAGAAGACGCTGCCCGTGACATTTCAGTTTTCTATAAAATAAATATATTTTTTTCGTTCTTGTCCGAAGTAAATGGAAAATTTTGTTCGAAATATGAAATTTCATGAGCAGCGTGCTCTTCCGTAGAGCCGCCGTAATCACGTGTTAAAGTTTCGGATAATTCGGTGCACCAAGTTTGAAGAAAAGTTTTATCTATATTTTGACTTTTTGGTACGCATATGTCACACTTTCGTATCACCTTAAGGTGAGAAGTAAAGTTGTTTAGTTAAGAATTAATATAAAATATTTTCAAGCGTACTTTGTTCATTAAGAAATTGTAAATAAAATTAAAAACGTCTTCATCCGTTTCGTCATAAGAAGATGTTAATACATCCTCAATATAATCCATGTTTTTCTTACATTGGTGCAGTTTTAGGTTGAAGTTCGATTAACTGAAGCTAAACGGTCGAATTTGGCTGGTCAATCTAAACGGAAGTTAATGGAAATTAATCCGCTGTTAAAATGTGGTGAAACGTGCAACTCGTTGTAACGATAAGATTTATGAAATCAGAAAAGTTATTCGGTTTGAAAAAAGCGCGAAATCATGTATCGGGAAAGTGGCAACAGATGGCGCCGTAACGGACGTCAGTAACATTCCGGCAAAGTAAGGTTATACGGTTATACTCTAAATTATTGTAAATTACTGTTTCTTGTCAGTATCACGTTATCGGCTCAAAATGTATCTCATGTATTATATGGATGAAAACGGTGATCGTGTATACACTTTGAAGGTAATTTTGGAAGATTTGTTATACTTTTATAAGTCTTAAAAAGAAAAAAGCGGTATCATGAGTGTAGTGTTTATTGTTGTGATCAACTTCCACGTGGTTTTTGGTTTTGTTAATCTGCTTGTTGCGATAAGTGCGTGACTGTATGATTTTTAAAATTTGTGAACAAAATATTTTCTTAACAATGAAGGGGTAATGTCATTGATAATACTGATATTTTGCAGAAATTTGATCCTTCTGGAAAGCCTACATTCACAGCCCATCCTGGTAATTATGTTCGGTCCTGTTTCTGTAATAGATATTAAAACTGTTTCAATTAATTAAGTTTGTTCTATGTTAAAAAGTACTAATTAATTAGTTTAATAGTCTCTAAATGTTTAAATGTTGAATATTTTTTTAGCAAGATTTTCACCAGAAGATAAATATTCAAGGGAGCGCATAATTATAAAGAGACGGTTTGGACTATTACTTACGCAACAACCAATGCCTTCTTACTAAGGTAATTTGCAATGATTGTATATTGCCCATAAATACTTTAGATATATAGATAATGTTTTCTTATTCTGTTTGTGTTTTATTTTCAGTTAAACATCAAAACCAGAATTAACAGATATACAAATGTTAAAGCGAACATGCAGATTACATTGGACAAGAGATATCATTAATTTGATTATGATGGAAAGAGGTAATTCAACTCGGTACACCCACTATTTCCTCTTCGAGATACCTCCTGCCTTTGACAACAGAGAGATCCGTTGCATACATTGTTCCCGTCGAAGCCATTACATATAGGAATAGTAATAGAATTAACCAATTATACTCAATATGAATGGGATTTATTTACAGCTCTTCGATACATATAAAAAATAAAACTTACATTTCAACCATCTACATAGTACATACAAGTTTTAACTTATTTCAGCCAAGTAATGCATTTCTTAAAATATATAACAATACAAGTTGAAGAAGCTTTTCTCAAAAACTTAGTAAACTCTGCAATAATAAAACGAATATTTAAAAGTCTGAGCGATAACCAATTCTAATATCATTAATTCATTGAAATGTCATGAGTTGCAATTTCTTCCCTGTAATGACTAATAAACCTAATGTGCCCTGTATTTATATTTATAGTCTATACATGTACAGAGCAACTGAACGAACCTAAATATTGGCAGCACGTATACCTTGCGTAGGTTTTAAATAGATAGATTAATTCGCTAACAAGTTTCGTTTCTGAAGAGCTGTATTCATAGTTTTGCTTGTGGTGAAATTAGTAAAGAAATGTAATTAATTAACGTAATGTTGCTTTTAAAGCATGTATTCGCTAAACTTTATACAAATGCTCAGAATTCCAAAGCTTTAAAGAAAGCAATTAGTTGTCGATATTCAAATTAAAATTCATACATTTGTATGTTTATATTCTATACGGTTACCTTAAATGTTTAATTGTTATATTCTGAAGGCACGTTTTTACATTATAATATCACGTGACTATTTGTATGTAATATGTTAATACAATGTACACTTCTCCACATACAAGAATACAGAATTTACTGTACATAGTTTATTTATGGTATGTGCTTGGTATTCATATTCCAAAGTTAGTTACTCTTTTTCAGAGTACAGTCTCATTGTTCAAGCACGCAGAACACAATGCAATCTGTCCACTATGAATATAGCCCAACAGCCTACTCTATGAAGTACTTATACGAGTATAAATAAATTTTGTAGATTCTATTTTTTCAGAACAGTACACTTGCTTCAAATGTAACGATTGTGATGCGTCACTGCAAATATATTTTCAAAGAGCAATTATATATAAGTTTGGATACATTCCTCTGCATAATACTATATATTTATAACACATGGTGATTACTAGAGGATAAAACAACGTAGTCCTCCTTAGGATGACACGACGAATGAATTTCATTAAATCCATACCGACGCAGTATCTTTATATTTTTTAATTATAATTTAATTTCCGTCTTATACTCGAGTCTTAAGGACAACTTCTAAGGAATAACAAGTTTCTTTAAAATAAGATTCCATTCCTACGACAAATTAGTGTACCGCTGCAGTGACATTAAACAGTGAGTTTGAGTATTTAATGCGTTACATTAGAAAAAATGTTGAAAAAAACGTAATAATCACATCCGTATGTAATGTGTTTGATATAACCATGAAGTCTCTCTTTACAATTACGTTTTCGTTAAATTAATGAAACCACTTAAAAAGCATGTCATTTACTGAAATATGGATCCATGGCATAACTCTATATAACAATGAATGTTATTTTATCTGGAACATTACCATTCATAGGAAAATTCTCTATTAATGTATATCATACATATAGCACATATATACAGATTTGTTGGTACTCGACAAATATCTGATTTTATATTATATTCATATTTTCCCTTGAAACACATAATTCACAGTGAAACACATCATGCACTCCGTGCTTTACGCTTAAATCATATGAGAATGACTGTTTGAATTAATTGATTTCATTACTCTCAGTGTCGACATATTTACGAAGTTCGATTAAATCGAGTCTTACTGTATTCAACGCTATTTACAGAAGAAACTAAAAAAAAATTCAGTCGTCTAAACAGTGATGTTTTCAAGTTGCATATCAACTGTAGTTAACTATGCTTCAGTCACTAGAAAGTATTAAGTAAGAGATTACAGATTCAAAATATGAAAATTTCCCACTGTTCTTTCTCTAAATAATATAATTGAGGTTTTTATTTAAGCAAATGCCTAACTTGAGTCTGTCTGGTACGTAAAAAGTATGTTGTACTTTTGATTTAATTACTGCATAGTAGATTAGATACCATAAACGCTTGTTATTTATTTACAACTCGTACAACGATTTTCCGTACAAAATTTAAGCTATGACTTTACAAATTTGATACCTACAGACTTGAAAGATGCATGAAGATGCAAATTAATACTTCAGAGGCTACTTTGTGTATTATTATTTATACGTACATCACAGAACTAATTTTTGAAAGGCAATGGAATATCTCAATGGTATTCTCGCGAAAATGGTAGATTTTGTAAGTACGAAGTATAGTTTCGAAAAGTATTATTTCCATAAATCTATGTAAATCAGTGGATAAAGACTTGAAATAATTATACCGAAATGTTTATCAAATGTGGGTGTTGTTTTTAAAAGTAACGTATACATTTGCCTTTGATCACACCTATTAAAAGTCCAATTAACATCATTTTCACTGATCTAATTTCTGCTTGCATCAATTCTGGTAATATAATTGTTGAAATTGTTAGTATAGGTTATGTAACTCAATGTACCCGTAATGATAAACATTACAATTTTAGTACAACATGGATAATCTAGCTTTACGAACGAACTTTTCTTTAACATATTAAAATATAGCCTACTTGTTAGTTACATATGTACATTCATAGTAACACATATTGACCCGTATAATAGAACTAGCAAAAATAAAAAGATTTCACAAGATCATTTCCCAATGAATAAACATACTTGTAATTATTTTGACCTCTTCGTTTATATACATTATATAATTACTGACGTATCATAATTTGATTCTTTTTATCGACAGAATATACATTAACTAATCTTTTAAAGTCAAAATGCAGCAGTTTGGTATAAAAAAAGTTAAAACAAGTAATTGCAGAACAGAACAATCGTGTACAAGTTTTGAGTAAACGTAACTTTTCCATTTTTAGGTTACAACCAATGAACCGTAACCAGTACGTTTACACCAATCTACCCTTTTCCGAAGTGACCTTTTACCATTGGTTTACCATATATTCCACCAAATGTTTCGAAAGTGATAATCTAGAATTTATTCCGAGGGCACAGCTGGTAATACATGAACTTGTTGAGCTTTACTTGCATTGTACACTTGTCCTGGACTAAATGGTTCAAGTTTTGGACCAGACAATATCTCATTTTTCCTCGTGATGTCTGAAAGGATTCAAAATCTTGGTTAATACTTATTTAATAAATTGAATTATATTTATTTGCTTAAACCGAGGTATTAACAGATTCCAGCTGTAATAAAACATTTCTACTGCTCGATACGTGAAACAGTTATTTTAACCTTTTAGTTATCGATATTTTGGCGCTCACGTGTGAAAATTTATAGGTGCTTATACATTTCACATATAACCTAGAAATACAGTACATCGGCTGCAGAGATGTGGACATACCGTTTTTTAATTCTGCCGCTGGGATGTATCGAGACAATCTAACAATCGGAAGAGGCAAGTAACCACTCGTAATAGGCATCACGTCTAAAGTAACACTTTGTTTCTCCTGCGTCTCCAGAGATATAATGCCTGCGGTACGTCCACAAACAGCCCACATGGTTTGATCAGCCAAAACCTCATACATAAGCTGAGGTGGAGGGGTCAAATTTGGGCTGGGTAACATGCGTGTCACTGTAAGACAAAGGTGGCACATGCTACCGGCACGACAAAACTCTCCGCTGCTTCCACCTGCTTCGACTCTGGACGACACTGTGAATAGAGTCTGAAAAAAGTTGATCAGACTTGCGATTTTTAACATAAACAATCATCAGATGGTCCTTCATCGCGCGCATCGTAAGCGTGCCTCGATACACACATGTTAGCACGTATAAAGGGCCACACTGTGTAAATAGCATTGAAGACGGCATAAACCAGCTATATCGAGCTATATTGATCGATCAATACCGCGATATATCATACGTGTAGAAACCATGCAAGTATTTTTTTTTTCGTTCTCAATGACTAAGCGATTCATTTTGATTTACTTACAATTTGCATTAATGATAGTAATGCGAATTTAATAGCGAGATGAAATATCCACAGAGCAGCCCAACTAAAACGATGAGCTATGTTTTCGTCTAAATACTTTTTAGCATTTTCCCTACTTCGTTTACAAACAAACTAAATGGTTCTTTCATTCGATAATTTAAGAATATTGTGCAATCTGTGCATCGCGTTACATGTAACATCTTACCATGTAATCAGAGATGTCAAAGTTGCATCGGTAGACATGACTCTCCTCTTCTATTCGTTGTATCTTGTGTATGTGCAGTGGGTCATCTTCTGCACTCAACTCGTCCGTGACTTCTGCATTACTGATTGCTAAGTATTTCACGCGAAAGTCGGTCTTGATGGGCATTATAAACTTTTCATCCTTCCCAAATTCCAGTTCCCACATAAACGAAACGTTCATTCCGCTTCCGATTACTAATTTCTGGCCAGCAACAGGATTCAGGCTTTTGAAGCTGACATCCACCGACGTGCTAGTCGATAATTGAGGATCGGTCAGTTGTAGTAATTGAGACGTTAAGCCGGTTACGATTATCTGAAGGAATTTCCTTTGCTTGGCAGTGTGGAGTTTAATCGTTGACATGAAAGGAGGACCAAAATGTAACGCCATGCTCTCTTCCGCGTTCCAAGGACAGTGAACGTTCACCTGAAACGAGATTAATCGGTAAACGTAACTTGTAATTGGACAACCACCCATACGTGCTAAATTAATGATCTTAAGGTGATGTGATAAGCCATAAGTAATATAAGGCACATACGTGCTTGTAATTGTAAAATAAAAATATCGTTACCTTATGCTCCAGGGAAGATGCGTCCTTCTTCGGCGGAAGTTCCGCAAAGACTTTCAATTCCAGCTTAGTCGTTTGAAACGGTTCGCACACCGGTAATGGCACTTCCAATTCTCTAACCATATTTCTTTCAGTTCCCGGCGAGAGAAGCGTCAAACCCCTCGAAGTCCTCAACTTTAATTTGGCATCCTCTGTTATTCTTATACTACCGTTTGAAATGATTAATTCTATGTCTTGTACAAGGCCTGCTAAAAGGTCTCTGGTGCATTTTGAGTAAATTGTCGGCTGAGTTTTGGCAACTTGATAGCATAATCGAGGATTTAAGACAGACGACAAGAAGTCCAGTTTCTCCTCGAGAATTAATGACAATTGACTGGTTCGATAGAATCCTGGCTGATCCACAAGCCTCGTTAACGTGAACGTGTTTATGCCAGGCTTCAGTATGAAATTATTGCACGTCAATGCTTTACTGAAGTCGCCTTTTACGTTTACGGAGGGTTTCCGATGTCTAGTGCTGTCGGACCGCTTCACAATTGGTTTCTCGTCTTTGCATAAAACGCAAGCCAGATCGATGCTTTTGTCCTGTTTGCACTCTATGTGTAAGTAAAATGGAAACCGCAGCAAACAAGGATCGATAGGTTTCAGGTCTTCGATGGTACATTTCAGTAACCTGCAACAGTGTTAGCTGAATGACGTCAGAGGTTCGTATAAAATATTGACATACCGGGAAAAATTAATTCTCTAAAATACACCTCTCCCTTAATTTACGTGGCGGCGGACTTTGAGTCGCGAAAAATGAACCCACTGAATACTTAACGCGAAAATTTGGCACATCAATTCGATAAATATTTATTTCTCAATTAAGAGAACTCATAATGGACTCGTAAAGAACTTACAAATCAATCTGTGGTTCTGGCACAGCCTTCGATCCTTTCCTTTTATTTAAAGGTACCGCGGGTTTTTGAAGTTCCTCGACGGAAATGGCCGCGCAGGTGCAATTAACTTGCCTCGGAAGTAAACTTTTTACACTGACAGCGATACTGACGATACAATCTTGAATCACTTTGTCGGTAACATTGACCTCCATACTAAGTATCGTAAAACAGTCCCCAAAATCGGTAATCAATGGCTGGGGATTTGACAACATCTTCATATTAGCCAGCATCTCTTCGAAATACGTATTACGTACAGTGACATGTAACGAATCAGTGCTAGAAATTGCTGCACAAATTTTCGTATACTTTTCAACATCGTCCATCATTTTATAGCATTGGGCCAACTGTAACTGAGTCTGCGCAGCTAGACAATACCATCCTTCATCGGTGTATGTTTTCAAAGCATCGGACAGGAAAGCTACAGATTTCTGATGTTCTCCCAATTCGCTGTAAAATCTTGCCAGATCTTGTCCAATTAATCTGGCCGATCTGATGCGACCGACATGTTTGTAAGTACCCATTGCTAATTCGGCATGTTCGAGGTATTGTTTGATGAACGCCTCTTTCGATGACAGCGCCTCTTTAAGCTTATCGGTTGGCGTTGGTTTGCCATCTACTTGCGGCTCCGAGTCTCCCATTCCCGCAACGAGATAAACGACAGTATGCAACTGTTCACTAGTTGGCTCGCTACCAGGCATAAGTCCGCATAATTTCCCCAAAGCTCCAAGCTGCAATAAAACGTGCTTAGTATGTACTAACGGGATACACATTAATTCCAGTCGGTTACACACGGGTACCTCGCCCTTGCCTTCACTGGCTGAACGAAGAACCGCAAGACGATATAGACGCTTAATATTTTTTATAATATGAATTAGTATGATTATGAAGAATTCAGGTAATATGAAACCCCCTTCAAATCAGTCGATTCTAATAAGACACTTTTTAAGGGTATTGGACCGAACTGTTTGAAACTTCGACACGTGGCTTGAGAGGTTGAAAAGATTCTTCTAAATATCAACGTTTGCAACGTAGATATTTATAAGAATACATTTTACTGACGTCGATCAAATTTCTCGACGTGTTTCACTTCACCTTAATTCAAACAAATATTCAGATAATAGTTGCGTTTACCTTCTCACTTGCAAGAGCCCACAGACCAGCTGTGTGTACCGAACAAAGATCCTGCTGTTGTCCATTATCGATATTCGGTTTAGATAACTGACAAGCATGAAGTACTTCGAGTGCACACAGGAAAGCCCAACATTCGATAGACCCTTCGGAATGTTGAACTTCCAGCATACGTAGTTCACTGATGGTGTTATGTACAAATGATAAACATCTCTCTGCAACCTGGATGAGATAATGATTTTGATAAAAATATTACCAAGACAAATATTTTCAAAACGAATCGTTACATACTTCCCAGGGTTTGTTAAGAAATAAGAGCATGGCACATTGTCTGCTGAACAAATAACTCCTAAGGTCCAACAAGGAAGCTTTACACTCAGCTAATAGAAATCTCAAATGTTGATCTACGCTATTATCCAGCATGACTCCTCCCCAATTATTCAGAGGAGTCAAGAACGAGCTTAACCATGCAGGCGTGTCTGAAAATAAGTACGTAACATTAGGAGATGAAAATAAATTTAAATCTATTATGTACAATACGTAGATAACGTGGATGTACCTCCGACATTGGTATTAAGCACGAACTGTGTAAAGAGAGCATCCAACTCATCGTACTGTACCAGTGCTTCGTCATATAAACCTAGCATTTCTAGGACGAACGCGAGTTCTTCCTAAGTACAAAGTCAGATAATTATACATATCTTTTTATTCTAAGTAGTTTTAAGTGTACAAATTGCAGTCATTTGTTCGGATAACATACTTGTAAAAGAAAGTAATGGCAAAAGTTCCAGCCTGGCTGGTTTCTCCTTTCTCTCTGTTCCCGTATTACTTCTTCAAAACGTAACAATGTCTTGTCGTAAGCTGTTAACATTAAATGTCGTATTCGTGCAATCAATCCTCTCCATGATTCGGCAGAACGAGATTCAGACTTAATTGGATTTATTATGGACAAGCATCTGTATATGTAACGAGTGTAAAAATACAGAAATTGCCACATTCGAAAACAGGATAACGATTCTTGATTATCTGCTTAACACACTCACCTATCTCCCTGTTTTGTTGCAAAATCACTGCGGATTTTATCCAAAACGGTTGTTCTAGGAAGGAGTTTATTGCTTTTTTTGATATCATACGTCTCCACCAAAACAATTAGCCAATCGTTGATATGATATCGTCCTAATGTCTTCATCCAAGCATCTATATCATCTTTAACTGACGATTTATAGACATCAACATCCTAGTTTTAAGGTTTTGAATATAAATAAATAATTATTATATGTCCTCTTCTTAATTATAATTATGGGAATAATGCAGAAGTAATAAATATGAGTAAATGTAATATGTGAGCTTACAGAACATTCGCTCCAATAAATATGAAATATGGGCTGCTTGATAAGATGCCAATCAGTTTCCTTAGGTAAAGCATCTTTGGAAAATGGTACGAAGGCAGCTTCGAGATTCACATGTTTAATTGGCCGACCAAACGACCTCTTCCATTCGACCGAATCTGTAGGCAGAGCTTGAATCAAAGCATTTTCCAATGTAGAAAAAAGCTCTTCGTCTCCTGCATCTGCATCAAATTCAATATCAATTCAATACTTCTATCAAATCTTTCTAATGCTTTATCTTTGTTAAATACTTGAAACATATCGCATGCAATTAACTATTCCAATACAATGTCTAAAAGAAAAGATCAATGAACCATCAGTTAACCATCTCAGTGCAATAATTTCTTCATTACAAACCGATTTTGGTATACGTAAAATAATACGTCAGTGTTACAAATTACTAGTTCTAGTATAAAAACGTTTTTATTTATTCTTATTGAACTAACAATATGTAAAGCGTTTTAGAGTACATTAGCCAGAATTTTAATAACTATGGAATATGTTGACTATTTTCAAACGGAGTCTGGAATGTCAAACATTGGAAAATGGCAAAGTCAAGGAAACCCTTAGCAAAAAGAATATGAACTTGTACATATAATAATGTGGGAGTTCTGTATCAAATGAGGGTTTCCAATACTCTCAATTAAAGTCAGAGCTGCCCTCGTGACGTATCGAATACATCCGACATTCGCATCCCGTTATTCGAGAGAAAGTGCAGCCTCGAAAAGTAACGCACGTTGCATTCGAAAGAAACGGGCTCGCGCCAGAAGGTCATGTCGATCAAATGAAGAAACGTGCAGTATCGCTCGGGAGATTGACAGGTCGCCGGACGTATCAATAACAATGACTAGAAAGAACGCCATTTCCCATGAGAGGTTAAAGGGCACTCGCGAGGTGCAGTCTGTTAGACTCACAGGTGATGATCGATTTGTCGTCCATCGAGATATCTCGTTGTCGCTCACCACCAGGAGGCGGCCTCCCATTGCAATTCATCTCCGGAGACCTACAATCCTTCCGCGAGCGATCATTACAATTTCGCGTAGTGGTTGGTCAGTCTCCGCAATGCGACCGCCGGACTGTCAATGCAAACCCGCGTCCGATTGACGTTCGGCACAACCTGACACCAACTTGTGATGGTTTAACCAATTTTTCACAACTATTTAGGACCAGCCAGTCAACTTCAACCCAGATCCTCGTCAACCGCGAGCAACCGCGAGGGTGACAGGTGCTGGCTTGGAGGTTGGAACGGAGAAGAGTCGACCGTCCGCGCGATCCTTGCATTCGCCGGTGCTGCACTCTACACGCATACTCGGAACTACATACACTGTTCTACTTGAAGAGGATGAGATGACTTCCAGGATGCATTTACTATGTTTCCACCGACACTTAAATGACGGATTTATAAGACTCGAATTAATTAGTATATTTAGGCCTGGTACTTCGGGTTCTGTACGCCAATTCGATAACTATCGATATTGTTAGCCCATTGGAATAACACGACCAAAGATATCGGTAGCTATCGAATGTGGTATACCGAATCCAACTACTGATACCATAACTCGAGTTAACCGAAGTTTAACTGCTTTACAGCAAGTTAAAACCATGGGTAAATCAGTTAAACTTTGGTTAACTCGAGTTGGGAAGCGGGCTTAAACCGGTTTTACACACCGACGTAAAATCGCTTACACGATTATTACATTTTCCGCGCAAGTGTAAAGCCGTCATAAATGTGACTTTAAGAAATTCAGTCATTTGAAACTGTTTGAAACGTATCACCTGATGTCATCGGTGATTATCGATGTGTGACTTACAATGCATATATAACACACATATATACATGAGAAAATAACGGAATATTCTAGCCAGTTAATTGGAATGAATGTCACTGGAGAATAGAAGCAGGAAGCACAAGGTAGCACCATGATTCAGAGCTTTGTATTTTTTGACTTGGAGACAACGGGCCTAATTCGGGGAACAAATATGCCCAGAATTACTGAAATAGCCCTCATCGCGGTGTCTCGGAAGTCTCTGTGCGAAAGCAAGGAAATGCCGCCAAGAGTAACGCACAAACTTGTTATACCAATCAATCCGATTATCAGAATCCCTCCAGAGGTTTCAGTTTTAACAGGTATTCATTCATAATTCAACATCTTTCATAAGACTTGATTTAGTTATATTGCTTGCTCTATATTAATGGGAATAATTCAGATATATATTATATGAGATCTATTTCTTTCAGGTATATTTAACGATAATTTAGATAACGTAGCTCCTTTCAAGAACAATACTTATGAACTTATGATACAATTTATTCAAACGCTTTCCCCTCCTGTCTGCATGGTTGCTCATAATGGGAATCAGTTCGATTACCCAATTCTTTTGCACGAGTTACAAAGTATTGGAAAGGTAAATTATTAAAATTCATATTTTAAATACTAGGAAATTCTGACCTACACTGTTAATGTTAAAAAATCTAATGTGTTTTTTCAGGAAATACCTGAAGGAGTTTTAGCGATTGACAGTCTTAATGCATTTAAACATTATTTCAATAAAAGTAGTTCAGAACCGAATGTTTCATCAAAATGTACGGACAATTCCAGTGCTTTTCTAGAAGCACCAAATAGTGAGGATTTTAAGTTTTTATTAAATGACGGGTTAGACGAAATGCTTTCTTTTGTGCTGGATCAGACTGTTGCTATTGTTGAAAATGTAGATCCATGTGAAAGTAACGCAATTAAATCGAGTACATCCGAGATTATTCCTGTAAAAGAAATGGAATCTGTGAGCCTTAAAATTAATGGCACGGAGATACCACAAAAGAAAGCAAATGAACTCTCAATCCAAGAAATTAACGAACGTACACCTGTACAGCAAATTGTAAAAGCAGATGGCATCAAAGTGCCAAGAAAAGTAATGGGAAGGGTAAACGTTGCAAGAAAACGGTTACACTTCCCTGCAACAAGCAATCGACCGGCTAACTTTAAGTTAAGTACAATATATGAACATTTTATAGGCTCCACATCAAAAAGGCAACATACAGCAGAAGGGGACTGTCTAAGCATGTTAAAGTGCATTGGTAAATTTGCAAGTACCTTTGCACATTGGGCTGACATGAATGCAGTTCCACTCGCAATATATAGCAAAAAGAACTAATCCCAAAAGAATTTGAATGAACAATACTTAACTAAATGTTAATATTTTCGCAAGTGAATACGCTTTAAAACTAACAAAAATGTGAAGAGTCTAAACTACATATCTAGTGCCTTCTAATCAATCAGCATGACTAAATTGATTTAGTCGGTGTATAAAGGATACATAACAAAGTTATTGAAATTAACAATAATGATGCGTTTATTTTTTTATGTTTATTCTGTATGGACCTTAAAAAAGTTCAAAATTTTGTAAAGTATTCTTTATGTACAACAATTATACTGTCATTATTTTCTATTTAATTCAGTTAATTTGGACCTACTTTGTTAATTTTGCAAATCAATTATATTTGTTTGAAGTGTAATGTTTTTATGGCAAGTTCTTTAGCATTGTATCCTTTGAATGATGTGATGTACGTGATACTTTTTCTATTTCTTCAAATTGTCAATCTTTATATTGCGAACATTTCTTTTCAACAACTGAATGTCGTTCTCAGCCTCTTTTAAACTTTAGATGTCCTTTTTTGTGTTTTTAATTTATTTATAAATTAATTAATGTGCTAAATGAGTTTTGATCGATGAAGTCTTTTGTGGACTGTTTTCAGTGAAACCATTCCTTCGTACTTGGTTCATAACTCATTGATATATTACATTAGAAGTAATTTATTCAAAGAAGAAATTGTATTTAATTTATCAATTTCAATCACCCATTTACTGATATTTTCAGTGTTGGAGACAAAACATTTCTAAGCATATTAACTTTCCTACAAAGTTTCTTTCTTCATTCCTTTGATTCCATTAGAAAAAATGTGTTAATACAAGTTTGTTACAAAAATGTTAAATAGTAGTAAAATTTAAATTGAAAGCAAAACTGTCTTATTTTTTATCAGAGATATAGCATTGCTTCAATTCTTTAATCTTTTACCGTGATTTTTAACGATAACTAGTGATCAAAGAACTAGTGATTAAATCGTGCAACTTTATACTGAGTAAAATATGTTACGTTGAGTACATAAAAGAAAATATGTCATACTTATTCTAGTCTGTAGTTTTTTGAAAATGTAGGTCGTAAAGGATTAATGTTTATGTATAGTAATTGGCAATGCGCTTCCTGTTTTGGACGTAAGGAGTAGATGTAAAGAGTCTGGGTGAAAATGCGATTGAAAATGGAATAAGAAAGTCCACTATTGTGATAGATTGAATAAAAAGTTTTGCACTTATAATATTCTTTTCAAATTCAATACCTTTATCTTATACCTTTGTTGGTTTAATTTGTCTATTTATCCATATATAGGAGTCAACCTACACAATGAAAATTCATAAATTACGGCTGAGATTAATTTTTATTTGCCAAAAATCGACATAGGTGTATGTCGCATTTATGGTTTTATAAACTGCTTACTACGGCGCTAAAACATTTCATTAAGAGAAGAAGATAAGTTTATTATTGACTTTTATATTTTGGACCATCTCACGTTCTAAAAGAATTATCATGTGCTGGGAAGGAAAGGTGTACTTCAGGAAAGGATCAGAATTCATAATATTTATTTTGATTCAGGTGTATATTCGAATTTTTTACGTGACCGCTCCGTCTATAGAATATCTGTACACAGTATATAATAAAATCCCCGGTAAGCATATCTTTGTTTGAATTTCGAGAACTACTGGACAAATTTTTATACGGTTTTCACCACTCTATAGAAAATGTATAGGGGAAGGTTTATGACGAATTTAGTGAAGCAAATCGATGAAAAAACAGTCGTTTGACCGCTTCCTGAGCTTACGCCGTCTAAATCGTTAATTATATGCTGAAGCAGTCTATAGAAAAATTATTGAGCATAAAAAAGTTCTACAAAAGAGTCCGTGAAGATATACACCTATCTTTAAAAGATAGCCTATCCTAAGCATTTTTGTGTTAGTGCAGTAAACCAGTTAAACTTCGGTTAACTCTAGATTAGCCGAGCCAGGATTAAATTTCAGAGGAGACATTGACCACGTTTCCATCGTCTTTCTAAATCCGAGATTTATCAGGTCCGGATTCCGTAAATTGCATGACTCCATCGCATTAAAAAATACGCAGAGATTCGATTCCGAGCGTCTCGATCGTCACTTAAACTCGGATTTAGTGCGTTTGGATTCGATAAATCCTGGATTTCGAGGACGATGGAGACGTAGTCATAGTAATGACGCATGCGCGCGGGAGAAAGAAGACCTCACTAGGAAATTGATATATCCTTCTCTCTTCCACTTTCCGTTTCACCTTGGGGTAGACTATTCCCATCTCAGTGTAATAACCTCTATGGCAACCTCCCACCTCGGTAGTAGCACGTCTTTATCGGCGCGTTTATATTTTCTACAGCGCGGTTCGTACCCGAGGGGGTGAGCAACCGTTTGCATCGGTGTGCCTTGGTGTGCCCCGGTGCGCATTGGTGCGCATTGGTGCGCGCGAAGGAGTTCACAGGTGTAGATACATACGCCAGTCCTTCTGGTAGCGGCCGTGTAGTTGCGTAGCTCCGTAATCGCGCGAGCTCGATGTGTGCGTACCACCGTACGGCACTCGACCAACTCGTACGATTCCCTCGAGTCCGTCGAGATGACTAGGGTTTCCTGGAGGCGCGAGTGATTCAGTGGCGGAGCATCTTTAACCCGGAGGCTGGACGAGGCAGCCCACGATGCAAGAATTCGGTTTACGTCGAGGCGAGCGCAACGTAAGTGGAACCGACGGAAAAGCCTCGCTAGCTCCTCTCCGCTTTCCCGAGGTCCTACTTTCTGGCCGGTTTCATCCCGTTTGAGCGCTCCTCGCATCCCTGGAGGACTTTCCCTGCCATTCGGACCGTCACCTGCATATTCCGGAATACAAGGAAACCCGAGGAGTTTCGCTCGTCTCGGGCGTCCCGTTCGCACACGCCCATCTACTCGGGGCGCCGATAGAAAGTTTCGTTTGACGGCTCCCGATATGTGGGCTACCAGACCCCGGTGAATGCATTTGCGAGAATGCGTTTCCCCTGCGACGAGACTCGCTTCGGCCCGAACGTGGAATCTCTCGTGAACACCTGTTCGCTCGCACGTACTTCTTTAAGAAACCCGGGAATGTCAATCGAGGTAAACGGCCGTGCGACGGAATAATGATTGTCAAACGTTGGATTGTACGCTAATTATGCTAATTAAACGTTAGGGGCTGGTTGCATCAAGTATGAATAGGGTATCGTTAAGTAACTGGAATTAATTATAAATTCCAGACTTCTTCGAGTGCGTCAACCTTGATTGGAGATAATATAGTATTGAGAAACCGTTGTTAAGTTATCGATCGCATTCGTTTGATTATTGCTCTAATCGAGATTGAAATATAGTGACAAAACTGATGGGCGATGGCATGAAAACTTTTGTTAAGTAATCGATGAGGTTCCTTCAATTATTGCTCTAATCGAGATTAAAATATAGTTCCTCGTAAACTTGATGCAAGACAACGGATTAAATTAATGAGAAAATGTGCTGATAAGCTATGAAACTTAAAGCAAAGCCCAATTGTTGATAAATGAACCAAATTTAAAAATTCTCAAAATCAGTTCGATGTTTTGTATGCTCGATGTTTTCTTTTTTACTTGTATGGTGTTTGTAATCTTATTGTTTACATTGAATTTTGTGCCATTGGTATATCCATTGCAAAGTTATATCATAGTTATACAGTAAAGTGTTATAATTTTAACTCAAATCTAATTACTGCTTATTAAGGTGATATGAAAGATTCCTTCTATATATATATAAAATGTAAAAATATTTATAAAACTTTTCTCCATACTAGGTGCACCAAATCATTTGATACTTCAGCACATGATTATGAAAGTCCTAAGGAAGAACGTGGTGTTCGTGAAATTTCATTAAAAAAAAACTAATCTTGGTTCTAGTCTGAGATAAATAACAAAAATTATTTATTAAAAATAACATTTCATGAGTACCAAGTTTTTTCTTAGGGTCTCCATAATGACAAGCTGAAATTTCAAATGATTTGGTGTACCCAGTTTGGAGAAAAGTTTTATAAAAATTCTGATGTTGTATATTTAGAATGACCCTTTCGTATCACCTTAATTATTAAAGTATATTCAATATTTAATGCATATCACTATATTTAAAATTCAGGGGCCTGAACTGCAATAAGTTCTCAATATGATGGCTACAAAGACAGAAGACTCCGCATCTAGTGACAATCCCAATGACGGTACGAAGATCTGTGATGAAATAAGTAGTCAAAGCCTGTGGTAATTGCACCACTAAATGGAACATTCCTTTAAGGAGGTAGCATGGACAAAGAAATATCCACGATCAACGCATCGGACGGTACGAGCCATCGTGTTCCACCTACGTACTTGTACAATACAGGAAGCGAGCAGAACAGAGGAGACCATGATCGTCACAATCAAAACAGAAATCAAGCCACCGAAGATCAGCTGGGTCCTTTGCCGCCACATTGGGAAAAAGCATACACGGATACTGGAGAGGTTTATTTTATAGAGTACGTATTTTTTGCAGTATCTTGTGTTTAACCTCTTGTACTACACACAGGGAAAAATGTACTTTGAGTTGAACTTGAGTACTTGAAATGAAATATTTAATCAACATTCCAGCCACAACACGGGCACTTCTCATTGGCTGGATCCCCGTTTATCTAAATTTCAAAAACGTTCTCTGGAAGAATGTCTTGATGACGAATTGCCGTATGGTTGGGAGAAAATAGACGACACTTTGTATGGCACGTATTTCATCGATCATGTAAATCGACGGACACAGTACGAGAACCCAGTCTTACAAGCCAAGCGGGCTCAACAGAATTTGGTTGAAAGGAAAAGTCCCAATTTTACCAGAAATCCTGATAAATTAAAAGGCCAACGAATACGTACGACATTGATCAAGAGCTCAAGAGGTCTTGGATTTACTATCGTTGGTGGAGATGACTCCGTAGAGGAATTTCTACAAATAAAGAGTGTGGTGCCAAATGGACCAGCGTGGTTAGATGGAAAATTGCAGACCGGTGAGTAAAACAACTTCCTTTTTATTCCATTTTGTCAAATGTTTAAGGTGATATGAAAGGGTAATTCTGTATATATAAATCGTCAAAATATTTATAAAACATTTCTCCAAACTGGGTGCACCGAATCATTTAAAACTGCAGCACGTGATTATGGAGGTCATACGGAAGAACACAATACTTTTAATTTTGTAATGTTTTTGGATTTCCATGTACACTGTAATTATTCTATCTATAGGGGATGTATTGGTATATGTCAATGACATCTGTGTCCTGGGATTCACCCATAACGAGATGGTAAATGTATTCAAATCCATTGTTAGCGGAGAAACGGTCACTTTGGAGGTATGCCGCGGCTATCCGTTACCTTTTGATCCAAATGATCCTAACACTGAAGTCGTCACTACCATAGCCGTCAGTGCACCAGGTGAGATTCTGATTAAATAATGTCGATAGACCATTGATCATTGCCGCGATTGACGGATTGACGGTTTAAAACTTTTGCCCATGCACACACGTTACTTATTTAGTTCGCTGCCCACGTGTAGTGGTACTGGTGTGTTTTGAATTCGTCGAAGTCCTCTCCGTATAGAACAAATAGATATCAGCTATCCAGTTAGTATATAGATCAGTGCGATAGACCTTGCTTTGTTGAATTAAAAGAAGACTTCCTTTTAGATATTTTAACAGAGGACCCTACGATGTACATGGACTTGGATCCAAGTCTACAAGCCGATGGACGGTTTAACTTCCTTGACTCTACATTCTTGCCAGTTCATAGTCTTCAAAATGGCGAAAATCTTGCCACGGCCTCTGTCAATTCCATGCCAGATCTCTGTATCTCTGATAAAATTAATACGATCAAGAGACCTAACAGTACTGACATTTTGTTAGTCGAGACTGATAATCTGAGCGATAGTAAGGATTCTCCCATCTGCGGTAAACCAGAATTCCTTAACATTGCTATCGTCAAAGGTTCTATAGGGTTTGGATTTACCATAGCAGATTCTGCCCACGGTCAGAAGGTAAAGAAGATCTTGGATCGCCAGCGTTGTAAAAATTTAATGGAAGGAGATATTCTAGTTAGCATCAACGATGTCGATGTTAGAAATATGTGTCACTCCGAGGTGGTTCAAGTTTTGAAGGAATGTCCCCGTAACCAGGAGGCTTTAATCCATGTTCAACGTTCGACCTCGAAGCCGAAGGACAAGATAGAGAAGAATTCTCAAGATTTCTTTAGGAGTAAAACACCAACTGCCGATATTTATAGTACACAGTCTAAGACCGTGGTTCCTAGTCGGCCGAAAACTCCGTTAATTGACACGAGGAATAGATCAAAATCGCCAGTTGAACCAACAAGATCAACGTGGAGTGAAGTACAACATGAGAATGAACTCAATCCGTTGGACAATCGGTTTAAATATCCTGATTATAATCATACGATGTATTACTCGGATCCTTACAAAGTTAACGTAGCCAATCTTTCCGACAACTTTGTGACCATGACGAATTTGGATGATGATTCGGTAAGAAATCTAGAAAAGCGTGACTGGGTGACTAATGACAAATTGAATCTCAATAATGATATGTATTCAATTGATGTTTCGCATCACGAAAACTTACTCAAGCAGAATGGCAGCATACACACCGACTATTATAAAGAACTTTACGCTGTTCAGCCTCATTCTCAGTACAATGACCAAGATTACACGGCGTACTCCATTGGTCAAGAGCAGAATGTTGATACGGGGGAGATTTGGGATAAAAGAAAAGAGACTACCAGTTTTGAACACGAACAGCCTCACTCCAGTTCTGTCCCACGGTATGTAGGAAATAATTACAAATTTTATTATTCTTGTAGTAAATATCGAGAAAGACTAGTTCTGTACAAATACGGAGAAAAAGTGTCAAGCAACAGGTATTACAAATACCTAAGAATACCTAGAATATTCTCTTTTATACTCGCGTACTGAGAAATAACGTTTGGGCGAAAGTATCATGCCTCGGCGTACAAGTATAAATAACAAATATTGATACGAATAATGGATATAATTTTAAAAGTATCCTTCATATCTTTTCAGATATCCCCAATATGGTAACGAATTGGTTTGTCCAATGATTCCTGACATAGAATGGATAGAAACCTTGGTTACCCTGGTGAGGCAGGACACAGGTTTTGGTTTCAGAATAGTTGGTGGTACCGAAGAAGGCTCCCAGGTTAGTTATTTACTAGTGCCCACAATCGTAAGTTATTTTTAGATTGCCTTATTTCTAATTGTATTGTAATAAACGCCTTTGCTGCTATACATACGCTTTCCACTCGGAATTATCTCCTAGTGTTGCATGTATATACTTGCCATGAAACATTCTTCATATCCTACAGTCACATACATACATTTGATGTGCTGTACTCACAGTATAAGATGAAGACTTTAATTCTAAAAATGAATTAGTCATTTTAAATACACCATTAATTTTATATTCTGGTTTATATACAAATCTGTCTCGGTAAGAAGAAGTATAAAAGGGAAAGCAACTATCCGATGGGAAGATAGTAAACTCAGAACCGTTGTACCCAAAACAGATTAATTATAAAAGTTAACTAAAAACCAGAAGAGTATGTAAAGTTACGCTTCGTTTGAAAATATCGATAGATAATAGATGATAGAATTTATCAATTGACAGGTTTCCGTTGGACACATCGTGCCGGGTGGCGCTGCAGATCTAGATAACAGACTAAACACAGGTGATCTGATAATGTCCGTCGATGGAGAAAGTGTGATGAACTCATCCCACCATCACGTGGTCCAGTTAATGATAGCGGCAGCGCAAAACGGCAGGGTCACGTTAGGAATTCGCCGACGTATCAACACTCAAGAACATCTCCAGGAAAACCTCTCAACGCCCTACAGCAGACAGCTCAATATTCAGTACCCCTACGATGTAACGGTCACGAGAATGGAGAACGAAGGCTTCGGCTTCGTTATCATTTCGTCCGTTAATAAAGCCGGTTCGACAATTGGTCGAATTATAGAGGGCTCTCCAGCCGAGAGGTGCGGCAGATTAAACGTCGGAGATCACATTCTCGCGGTTAACCATGTCGACATTGCGAATGTCTGTCACAAAGACATCGTCAACTTGATCAAAGATTCCGGTTACTCGGTCACTCTCACCATTGGTTACCCGTTGGACGATTGCTGCAGCAGCGCATCTCTGTCTCAAAAGGTGACGTGTGGTCTTAATTTTACCTGGGCGATCCAGAAATAACATATACAACCTGTTCGCGTGTATAGGTTTCCTAAAAAACCGATCGTATCGAATGGAAGTGTAATCATGATGTAGTATAAGGAAACAACGCCAGTGGTCGGTTCTACAGAAAGTAACCCTAGAATCGGGACCCAGGATCTCAGATTTTCGCTGATCTAACGATGCGAGCGCTACTTGCGGAAAATGAAGGAACTCCAATTCTTGGACCTCTAATGGGGGGCAGATTTTAATACATAGCGTTGTATCTCCGTATACTACTTCATGATTGTAACGATTCAATCCTAGGATAGTTTCACTTTTAATGAGGAATTATTAGAGTATCTGAAACTGACTTCTTGGTTTCTTCTACAGGATGAGACTGCAGGGGATGGAGATGGCGGACAATACCATGCTGTCGAATTAACTCGAGGGACCCGTGGATTTGGTTTCAGTATTCGTGGAGGTCGTGAATTCCAAAACATGCCCTTGTTCGTTTTGCAGATCGCTGAGAACGGACCTGCTTCTATCGATAATAGACTGAGGGTAAATATTTCATTTTATATCACAGGATTAAAGACTGCCGTCAGTTCGGATATGTTGGTCGACATGGTGTACGGTTAATCCGCAAACCGAATAATAAGCACCCGATTGACGGAGAGTCTGCTGTATATGTATTATTAATGTACACATGGACATCGATTTTAGTAAAATTGAATGACCTAGTTTGAAAATTGTTCCAGGTCGGGGATCAGATAATCGAAATCAATGGCATCAATACGAAGAACATGACCCACACGGAAGCCATAGAAATAATTCGCAACGGTGGCCCTTCCGTTCGTCTGTTGGTACGCCGAGGATGCCAAATGCCCTCTGTGGTAGGTGCACCCCCACAACTCTACGACATGAACATATAAAACGAATAATCCAATAACCGCACCTCGCTCTTACACTCATCCGTAATTTTGTATCATTACTAACTCTAACGTCTCATCAGTTATTTTTTTTCCTCTCTTGTTCTCTACTTTCTTTCTCTCTCAGACACAGCGAAACATCTCGTAACTTCTTCGACGAGCTTAAGAGAGCTTAATAAGAGCTTCGAGTACCGTCACACGGTAGGACCTTCGAGAGACAATAGAAGAGAGTAAAAGTCTAAACTTTGTCGAGCAATTCTCCAAAAATCGCCTTAGAGTATCGTTACGGTTAGGTTAGCGTCGTATTTTTAATTTCTAATCAATCTTTTAGCTTGTTATTAAGATCTGACGCCGGTGTGGGACGAGCGTGTCTTATGTACAATCATATTACCGAGACGACGGTAATTGTAGGGATTAAGGTGATATGAAAGAACCAGCCTATATATGTGAGAGGTCAAATCGTTTCAAAACGATTGCAAGAGAATGCTGGCTTGTCCCATGGGTAACGCATGTTTTTAGAGCAAAAATTTAGTTGCAGCTAACAGTCATAGATGGCGCCGTTGACCAATTAGAATATAAAAAATCATGAATCCTCCGAATTTCGGTAATTTTGCATCGATCTTTTTATCATTACTTTACCGAAATGACATGGAACGTCTCATTTCGTATAATTCTCAACGTAGACTGTAACAGACTTCAACATAAATATAAATATCGGTAACGCTACGCGCCAGCTCATGTTACCACTTGGGTATTCAAAATGGCGTTACCACCAAATAGGGTATAGATGAATTTTATTTTATCTACGTCGATTAAATTTCTCAGTGCCTTTCATATCACCTTAAGGCTCGAGGATGAAAACAGAGCGAGAAGCTGTGCAGTCTAATCGTATCACATAGACCCTAAATTATTAAGCGTACACACATTTCGAAGTTCCAGGTCCAAGTCGTTTGTGCTTCATTGCTGTCCACGGTTATATTTTTTTCTTGTTTTACGGTCAATTTTATATTCTTCCCGGTGATTTGACGAAAACGTTCGGATAGTAGTATTCTATGTCGATTCGGTAATTAGACGGAATAAACATTAAAGAGATGAAAAAATAGCACTGATAGTAACGGGATAGGCAGCTTTAGTTACATTGGTAATTTAATTACAGGATAATTAAGTACACTTGCAAACTATATAACTGTAACGGTATTAAATTATTACAACAGTTATGTAATGGAGATGTTTATAGCATGCTCTTGTATAGACAGCTTTTGATAGTGTTTGATACACTATGACTATTCGAAGATTAAATTATAAATGTAATTATTGCTGTCTCCAATAAGGGAATCTTTGTAACCAGAAAATACTGAAACGCCGAAATGCCAAAAACGCGAGGAAGATGAAAAAGATTGTATTGCACATTCTTTGTTTCAATAACAAATAATCCTTGAGAGCGAAATTCTTTAACAAAAACGTGCCTTATCATTTTCGTGTTTTTTTTTAAACATTTGTGAAGTTGTGTAAATTACTGAACGATGTTTCCGGTAAAGATTTGAAGAATACAGTGAAAATCAAATTACTTCAAACCAAATAATAAATTAATTTGTTATAACAGTTCGACATATCTTAAATTTGTCACTTGAGCTCGAATAATTGTTTTTGTCACCGCAAAGGTTATCAGGAAATGACGCTCATAAAAAATGCATTACGACAGTTGGTTCCACGAAAATGAAAATCGTGCGGTTATCAAAGTTCCCTTACAAACAATAATATTTAGAAGGACCTCGATACTCGCTGATTTTTAACAAAAATTAGACTGGTGCTAACTCTGTACATTAATATAATCTAATTCCGATCGTTTTTTTTTTTTTTTAATATATTCGTTTTCTAACACGTGTGATAACTTAAGACTACTCAGTGCCTTGCGCGTGTTCCTCTAATTAATGTTATTATACTAGACAAGTGTACTGCTTTTGAGCCATTCTCGAAGCGACTACAAATATCTCCTTGTTGGAATTCATTGTAGAGCAATCTCACTCTCGACCGAATAAGTTTCGGGCCGATTGATGGGGCCATTCTGCGCGGACAGAACTCGAAATTAGACGAGAAAGATGCGCTCCCTAGAAAACCTAAGAGATTACGGTTTCCAATATTGCTGAATTGCTGCTCCTCTAGAAAGAGACGTCATTAACGGCCGATCGCGACTTCGAGGCGAATCGTTAATATAAGTCATAAGTAAGATAAGCGTACAACGTGGTGTCTAGCGATCAGCGAAGATTACGATATACCATAGAGCTTTGACGATTAACAGCTACCGAGAAAGTTCAATTACCACTCTTAAATTGTCGGTGATAATTTAAAAAGTGGACGTTTTCGACTATCCGAGGGGTAATGCTCGGTGCCATCAACCTCGGTTAAATCAGGGATTACCTAATCGTAGGATAAATTTAACGTCTAAGTTAATCATGGGTTAAAAACGTAAATGTTCCACCACGTTCATTTAGGGCGTGTTTAACTAATCGTATACATCATTAGAAGTAAGTTGAATTATTGGCTGATACTCCAATCGACTAGAAAGCAAGATAATGCACCCTTATCAAGAAAGGACAGACGCTAGCCTCAAGAAGTAAAGTTCTTCGGTTAAGAATTAATATAAAATTTTTTCAAGCGTACTTCCATCATTAAGAAATTGTAAACAAAATCAAAAACGTCTTCAGCCGTTTCGTCATAAGATGTTAATACATCCTCAGTACAATCCATGTTTTCCACACGTTTGTGCAGTTTTTAGGTTGAAGTTCGAGTAACTGAAACTTAACGATCTAATTTGGCTGGTTAATTTAAACGGCGGTTAATGGAAATTAACCCGCCGTTAAAATGTGGTGGAACGTTTAACTCGTAACCGAGGATTAGCTTTTTGACCGAGGTTAATGGAACCGGGAATAAAAGAGCTGCAATCCGTAGCATCGTTACTTTCTTTCGGATAGTACCAGAAAAGTGCTTTATCGAGCTTACAACCACTATGTCTCAGAGAATCGTTGCTCTCTTTTGTAGAGAGGACAACTTTATAATATTGCAAAACGATTCAGAAGTGAATTCTAAATTTTATCGTTAGGACGTACGAAAACATGGTTAACGATAGGGAGGTACTTTTACTGACCCTCGAGCACCCGTGCTTTAAAAGATAATTAAACTGAATTTGCTAGACACTGTGTCAGGAAAGAGAGGAATACTGGATTTAAAAGGGGGGTCCATGAGCTCGGATGCGAAAACCGAGACTAAAATGAATAATTAGATGTATTACGAGTGGACAATGGACTGAGGAAAGGCAAGCGGCGCGAGGGAATGCGCGAGACGGTAGAGAAATATCGTTTCTTAAATGCTGTTAGTAAAATGCTCGCGTGACAGTCTCCAACTTATGGAATCTCTTGAGAGTTACCGGTTTTCTTTCTCTGCAAAGCTGCGAGCAGGAAAAAATTGCTCTCAGCTCGCCGGTAAATTGAAAGAACGTCCGAAGTATCGCGCTCGAGCGGTACTCGTGGTCAGCTCGAAGTTAAAAAAATAAAAAAATAAAAAAAAGAAGAGAATCGTAAATAATGAATTAAAACTTAAAGTTGCATTCCTTTCGAAAGACTTGAAAATGTTCGAGATTCTTGTAGCGTGGCCTTACAACGGATATTACATAAGACTCGAGTACCTACTGTAGAGCGCGTTTGCAACGCGTGTTTCTTTATTAGATCGTATTATGTCGAAGATCGATGACAGTGTCCCCTTTTATAGGTATTTATTGCCCACTTGGATGTGTGTCCATTAATAGTTCAATTAAGTGCCCAATCAACCAAAGAAGCGGCAAGTGCAGCCCGTCAGCTACTTTTTTTTAGCGAGATATATGCCAAACTGTTAGCAAGCTGATTAAGGAGATTGTTTAAATCGATGTAAAAATTATACCGTGCCGATAGACTTTGACCACTTTTCTTTTACATTGCATTTTTTTATGCATTTATTTTTACACCGCAAAGCGCTGTATAAAGTCAAACTGACGAGATTACACTATTTGAAAAAAGTGCTCTATTCGCGGTACTCGTTATCTTTGGATATTTTAAACAAGATATAATAACTAACCATGACACAAAAAGTGCACTCATTGTGTAAATCTCATGGCAGAGAATCTCACCGTGTCATTGTTCTGTAATAAATTAAGAAAATGAAGTGTACGTCACGAAAAGAGGAATTATAACAAATTAAAGGAATCTTGCAAATGTCCAATGATAGACGAAAGAACGAATGGGATATTTTTTTCCGGTTTTTTCTTGCTTCAGTAATTTGTGATCATGTAACTGCGCAAATTAGAAAATATCAATATGACGAGAGTTAAAGAAGAAATATAACGAAAGGTCCGACATTTCGGAATATTCTGAGTTAGAAACGAACGAAAGAGCTGAAAGGATGGCGTATCCGAGGACATTAAATCTCGGATTATAATTTGATTAGTTGATCTACGTAAACGGAAGATGTCATCAGAAATCATGGATTTGATTAAAAGCAAAATTTAATTGGTAAAGCAGCTTTTTGCACCATTTTAAATGATCTGCCTTAATACGTTGCTCTAGCAGGTACTTTTCTGGGCAATAAGACTTTCCTTGCTCGCATATTTCAGCTACTTTCGCTGACGTAGTAATTGATGAAGAGGATTAAGGGGCAATTTCTTCCCAATTTTTGTGTACGATATTAATGTATATTCGCGAACAATGCTTGTTCCGAAGACGAGCTATATTTTTTTACCGTTAGGGTTAGTAGGAAATGGAACAATTCTTCGGGTAAAATGCACTTTAAAAAAGAGTTATACCTCTAAACGAATATTGGGAGGCAATCTTCCCGAATTTTGTTATTTCTACCCAGACAGCAAAACGATATTCTGGAAATTTTCCGAACGTGTAGATATTTATATATCGCAAGCCGCGCAAGATTTGAATGATTTGACAAAGGAATGTTTTAAAACATCATCGTTCATTCATGTACCGGAAGTGCGAGCAATATGAATATGATAACATCAAGGGCTAGAAAAAAAAATAATATTATTGTAATAATTCAGTTTTTTTATTATTAAAGTGAAACCATTTATGGCATAAGTGGCATATGACTTAAGTATGCAGTAAATATATTGATACAACCATTTATGACAAATTTACCGGAAATTTTTCTTCAAATTTGTTGTGCAATATGCGTACATATATTGCAGACATTTCATGCAGCAAATGGTCTGCAAATTGTTTGTAAATCGATTTTCCTCATCATATGATCATGCATTTCTATCTGGGAAAATGTACGGTATATTGTCTATCTCTCTTTAACAAAGAAAATGTATATTTTCGTGTGAACGTCCATCGTCTTGTACGTTCGGAAAAATATCAGCGAATGATTTGTTCGCATCGCCGTTCTCACGAGTTCACATACCTCCGTTCTCGGTGTAACTGTTTCGAAGTTCTTCGGATAATTCACTCTTGCCTACTGTATCCATATTGCACCCACTTACGCTACCAAACGGTATTTACAGTGTGAACAAATTGAAATAAAATATTAACGAAGGGTCACGGTGATTGTAAAATTCTTAAAATTATTATCTGAAATTCCTGAGGACCTTCGGGTGCTACATTCTTCCGAATATTCGGGAAGAATTCCGGATATCTCTTCCTGGCTGGGTACAGGATGTGAAGGCGTCTTGAAAAGAGAGAAAAAAAAGGAATTGTTCAATATGTCCGATCTGACATAGTTCGTAGGTTATTAAAAATGTATACATACATGTACTCGCTCGAAAGGACGAGCGGAATTCGAGGAATCGTATTTCTCCCACAGCGTGATTATCGCGTTTATTTTTTATAAGTTTATTATAAGAATTGTATATTGAGGTAACGGAACGGTAAGGCTTCGGTGTAATTGTAAATAAGCATATAGATTTACAAAGACCTTTAGATTAAGCCTAAGAGCAATACTGCCGGGTGCACCTCGACACTTACGCCGATCAATTTTAATTAATGATGTGACGAATCGAGTACTTGGTAACTCAAACTCGAGTCATTTTTATTGCAACTCGAGTTATTGGTACAGACGAAAGCGAGTTTATTCGTATCGATCGGTACGAATAAATTCGGTTTAACTTTCATAATTGGCATCTCGAGATGCCAATCGCGCCTTATTTGTTTATTAAAGTAATCGTTATTTGAATTAATTTATCATCAACTCGACTCGCCGCGAGTTGTCGACTCGAGTCCAAATTCGAGTTGGCAATTTTTTCGAATTTTAGTAGCTCGAGTTGGTAAAGTATTCGACTCGTCACGACACTAATTTTCATTACATCTTATGGACTCATGCTCTCGTCGCGATTTTAGCGCTATTTCGTGTTTTCCATTTTTATTCCGTTTACCGAGCTATGTATACGAGGCCAGGCGGTAATCTTAGTACTGCATGTGCGATGGGAATATGAGTCACGTGCACGTATTCATAGTCGTCCCAAGAGATCTCGGAAACCCTCAGCTGGAGAAATTTATTACCAGCGGTAGACATTTTTCATCTTGAACATTTTTTTCAGTAGCAACCCAGATAGACATGTTATGCAAAATTTACGTCAAACTTGTCTCATAAAAGATCATGAAACGAGTCACGAGGGTGTTGCTTATGAGTCCTCATTTGAAACTCATATCTGCAGTTCATAATGACGAACCAAAAATAATTAAATATGAAACAAAGTTAAGTACATGCATTGTCTCAATCTTTGTACGCATATGTACAGCTAAATTAATCTCACGCATTGCCGATAAACAATTGCAGCGTCTGTAGCTCATATTTGAGCCATGACGGGACAAATTTATTGTGCAATATCCGTACATATATTGCAGACATTTTATGCAGCAAATGGTCTACAAGTTGTTTGTAAATCGATTTTCCTCATCATACGATGATCATGAATTTCTATCTGGGGTAGTTTAGGAATTTGATTAAGATAACCATAGAACCAGATTTCAGTAATCCGAGTTTTTAAAATCACATTAATCTAACTTTCTCATGACAACTAGAAATCATTCGATCGGTACTTTTTTGAGTGTAGTACGTGTCGCATTTAATAACTTTTGGAAGTTTCATATTGGTGGCGATAGACGTTCCTAAGAAATATATTCATCCGGGAACTCGGTAGAGTTTCGCGCCAGATACATATTTACATCTGAACGTTGTGTGAATTTCTAACAACGCTATGGTTAAATGTTTTTCATCCCGAATCGTGTTTTTGTAGATCATAAGAAGAAAGTTGTTGAAATTTTGTCCGAATCAATGCGCAATCTCATCTAACTGGGCCATTATTCGTTCGTGTCAGGAGGGCGATTATGAATATGAATTTATGGAGGCAATTTAATGAGCGAAGTGCAGTTTTGTCACGAATGGTTGCACCGACCTTTCGCTCGTTTGTTCGCTCATATCGTGTCTTTCTGTTCCGAATTGACAATCGGAGGAGCGTTTCTTTGCGAGCCGCTGCGACGAGAAAAAGTCAAGTTGGTTCCCAAAGTTTCGCTGATTAGGTGTTGTAATATTAGGAATACGTGTTCTCTTCTTATCTCATCCTCGATTACTGAAAAACAGCGCGACTCACCCTATGCGCCGATCTCGTGAGAGCTTTTAACTTTTTATATTTATTGTAATTTACGTGTAATTTACATTTGTCAATCCTTCGCACTCTCCTACAAAATCCAGGCGCGTAAGAGCGACGATTCTTCGGGAATGACGACATGTAGAGGATGGATACGAAAGAAAAGGAATTTCATTGTTACATCGAGTATATTATATACTACTTAATGTATTGTTGTTATAAATATATTGAAACAATAAATATTATTTGAAATGCGCAGGCTGCCGGCAATCATCGTGGGCTGTTTTCTCATTTTATTTCCCTCTAGGTGAATGTCTGCCTTAAATAAAATACGACGGAACGTGTTAAATAATGTTTAGAACTTACGTTAACTTGCAGAGGTGCTTTACCTAACGCCACAGCCCTAGTAGAACAATATATTTGTCTTATGTATTATATCTAATCTAATCTAAATCTAATGCGAAAAAATAGTAGTCATTGAACGTGCGATTATTACCGTCAAAGAAGTGAAAGGAAAACCAATGTCTGAAAATTTATTGAATTTATTTTACCCTTTCTTCGTGCTCTTCTTTTTCTGTACACGCAGGAAAAAATTTGATTCGTTTCGAAAAACGCGTTTTGGTCGAGTGAACTGAATTTTAGTTCACTAAAGTGTTTCGGTTAAATCGTTTTGGTCATTTTAGAAAACATTTTGGGTAAATGTACCAAGGGACTTAAATATTTGGCGTGGTCTACCGCAATATTTGATGTAACCGGCCGAAAGTTATTAATCAATGAATTTTGTCGTGTCAACTGCGTTGTCCAATATTTGTATTCTATGGCTGAATCAACAAAAATTGTATCGATTCGACCGAATATTTTTCTGCGTGTACGGCTTTCTTTCTTAAATGTGTGTCTGTAATAAAGAGAAACGTAATGCGTAAGTGCATTCCCGGAAGAAGCGACGCTGCATGGCAAAAAGGCGGTCACATTATTGGTTCACACTAAAACGATTAACCGTCGACGTGTGATTGACAGTGCGTAAAATGCCATCATTTTTCAATCATTTTCTCGTTACTTATTAAAGAATTCCGTTTTTAAGGCAGACGAAAGCCGTGTAGGCTACAAATCGCGAACATTTAAAAAATTGATGTATAATGAAATGTTTCATTAATTGTTCCCAAGAATTGGTCATATTTTTTTACACCAAATTTGGTGTCCTATAATGATAGTAAAGTAAAAAATTTGGCTTTATTACATGTCAGTAAATTAAAACATATAACATTTTTCCAAATATTTACCAAAGATTACGAAAAGTTATTTATATATTTTTTTTATGTTATTAGGGAATTCTCAGATAAAAATCGTGTTCTTCGGAATGCAGTACACAATTTCCCGGTTTTCATTTCGAGTGCTGCGTTTCTGGTTTTGGAACGCATTTATATTCGAAGAAATTGAAAGTATCGAAGCGTGTTCAGCAGTGCAGCTAAATTGGCGGCAGATTTTAGCACGATGCATTCGAAGGCTGAAAATTTCCTTTACTTGGGAATTTTCCGTTTCCAGCGAACGAAAACTTTTGTAGATCTTTATAATACATCGAGTGATGCAATGCTGCAAGAAGGTACCTTCTCTCACGAATGGACCGTGTCAAAACACTAATTAAATACCGAGTACCGGTGATGCGTTGTCGCGTTGACCCGCGGTAAAAACCCAAAGACACAGTCAATAATCCCAGCAGTTAGCGAACGAAGTTCGCGTACGAGTTTCTGAGTAAAGTTGTCATTAAAATAATGATACGCATCGTCTTTTAAAGCAGACTGGTGGAAAGGATCGGATCCAGCGAGAAACGCGCTCCACCGATATGAGCTTATAACGGTATCGAGGAAGAGCGCGCATTTCTTGGTAACTCGTTAAATCTCAGAAATCTATCAACTACGTGGAAACGTATCTCCGAACAAGATCTTCGTTTACGACAGTCCCAGCTTTTCTGGGGATCGGAATTTCTTTATCCGTCGCGTGATTTGAAAGAACCGCCTCATGGTCGAGAAGATTCGTCTCATCGATGGCCGAGCTAACTCAACCCGAATCGCATTTATGTATCTCATGGCGACGCGACAGGTTTGATAAGTATAATTCATTACATAATAAATAGGGACGAGGTTTTCTACGTATATAATAACGTATAATACGTTTCTAGTTTTCTGCGCGAGCGTAAAGTACACTACGCCCTTCTGTTTCTAAATAGAACATAATGAATCCTATATTTGATCGCGACGCGTCAACTAAACCTCTTCCAAAGAGCTTCATAGCTCTTCTTAACTCCGAGCTTTATCCAGGAAAAGAATCATCCTTCGTATCTCCAGGGAAAGCAGAGATACGAAGAGAAAACTACGGAATGTAAGATTGGATTCTAAACGACATTCAAAACGCCGCCAAGATGGCGGCTTCGATCGCGAGTTCCGCATTCTCCCACGGGGGCGCTCGCGTCGCTCCCAACAACGAATCCTGCGATCCGTTTCCAAGAACGTGACTCTCATCACCGCATCCATGACGTCACTCGTCCCTTGGTTCCGAAGCCCGATAAATGAAAACTCGTTAGAAAAAATCGTCCCCATGATCCACGTATAAATCCAGCCCCTGACGCGCCGATCCCCGGGTAAAAAGTCGATTTCCCGAAGCAGCCCCTCGGGCGTCGAAGTTGCGCGCCGTCCGCCATTTGCAATCCGTCCATGGCCCTCGGGCCGCGCAGTTGGCAGGCCTGTCGATTGATCGCCCGTATTGGCCCGCATTTTACCCAGAATGTACACCACATATCTGTCCCTGGTCTCTCCGGGCGAATGTAAACAGAATTTCTCTCAAATATGATGTGACACGGCCAAATCGTGGGGTGCTCTGGTGCGCGATCAAGGCGAGCGAGACCGGAGGAGCGGGCGAGCGGGCGAGTGGCCGCCGTGTGTTCGCGTCGTGTACCGTGGCAGAGCTGGCCGAGGCTCCGCGCGAGCGAAGCCAGTCGAAGGTGGAACGGGTCCGTCTGCACGAGTCCACCCCGTGGCCGCGTAGTGGAAGAGCCAGTGCGGGTTCCTGGCCGATGGGAGCGCGATGCGGAGCCCGCGGAGGGTGTTAAGGGTGAGTCTCGACGGCCGGGTTGCCGAGGAGTCTCGGGCGCGGGCGTGCCCTCGACCGCGACCGCCCTCGTTCCGGACTTTTATTTTTTACCCAGCGTGTGTTCGCTGTATTTTTCGCTCGCCATGAGGCTCGCGCGTGCCGCTGTGTTCAGTGCGTGTGTGCTACGTGCCCCGCGCGCGTGTGCGTGAGGACGCTCTCCTACCCTGCCCACACACGGGCGCTCGCACGCACACCGAGACTCCTCGAGAGCGTACGCGTTTACTAGCGCTAGCGTTCCCGTGGCATTCATAGAACGCTACCAAGCGACACGGAACGATGCGGAATGCTACGGTACGTACGGCTGGGAACTCTACGTAATGCACGCACACCGCGCGAGGCGCAGTCCACTCGCACGCACGCACATGCGCAACGTGTTTGGACGCCTCTAATGCAATCAAAGGAATTGAGAGGGCTGAGTTGTAGACCGGAGTCCTTGCCTGACCGTGGAGGCCGTTCCCGGGGATGCTGGAGTTACGGGACGATTGACCGGCTAAGATGTGGATCGTTGCACCCTGAGGGTAGGAACGAGACCGTCAAGTTTTGATAAACATTCAAGAAGGGCACTTCGACTACTTCTCACTACGCTCAATTGATATCGCAGGCTGATTGCACATCTTTAAGGGTATTCGATGTGGTGAGGATCGTGCACAGGTTTTAAACTCGGTTAGAGAATATTCAGAAAGTTCTTTCGAAACGATAGAATGTGGGAAGTTTTGATATTTTGAGAAATGTATCACGGCGGAGTGGAGGGGAAAGATGCGATTTGTTTATAATATGGACATTAATGTGTCTTAAGTAACGGGAAAGTCTCGAGAATATATTCCTCGGTTCCTGAATATTGTACTTAGAGAATAGGAATCGGGCTAGCAAGTTTTGATAAACTGATGAGAGAGACGAAGGCTTTTCGATAATTTATAGACTCTACGCAAATGATATGACAGGCAAATTGCACATTTGTTTAGAGAAAACTGAAGAAATGGTATCGAAATGACAGGATTGTGAAGAAATTTCCATATTTTGAGAAAGCGTAATTGCCCGAGATATGTAATATAATATAAATGGGTGAATTATTTGGGAGATGTGCGTTAACGTATCTTGGGTAACAGGGAAGTATCAAGGGGTTTTCTTATTCGCGTTAGACAGGCTTTGACAAAAAGGTGCTCGAAGGAAGTGACATATTTAAAGCATTTGTCATATGCAGAACGCAAACTCTTATACGGTTGTCGAAATATACATAAACCTACTTTAAATGGAATTGGAGCAAAGTCTCGTGCAGAGTCAGTACGTATCGGATCTTTGTTTTCAATGATTCATTTTCTTGCTCAGGAGGTAACTTGCAGAGTTTATGGAACTTTCCTTCGATCTGTCCAGAATGACTCTTGACAAATACTTTGAACAAAATTTTTCCTTGTTTGTAAGTCCAGAGATGACACGATGATAAGAGTCGTTGCACCAGAGGTGTATCATTGAACAAAAAGTGTATCTTCACCGTTTGGAAATTAAATACAAAGATACAATGAAGTAGAGGTATCGTTTAGCTCTTAATACTAGATAATTTAAATTGGAATTGAGGGTAGGGAGAACTAATTCAATTACTAAATTTAAATCCGTAGCTAATCTATATATAGACATGTAGTTAGATGATCAAATGTCACATTGTGGGCTTATTTTTTACACGATATTTTCAAAGAGGAATGAATCTCTATACGTAGGGAGATTTATGTTTAATTCAGTGTTTTATCGGAGATCACTTATTTTAGAGCAATTTCAGGCGTATAATCAAATTGGATGTGAGATTCATGGCGCATACCACAATGACGACTCTCTTGCAAGCGAAAAGAATTTTTGGCAAAGGGTTTGGAATTTTGGATAAAAATCTCGTTCTTCCTGCATACAAACACAAAACGATCCCATGACCAGCTTGTAAACAACAGTTCTAAGACATATTAAATCAGTTAAGAAGTACTTCTCATGAATGTTGTATACAGGAGTATTCGAGTTATATATTAAATAATGTTATTCCGTATCCCTTTTGAATAATTCAACGCGGGTAATCTCTTATCTCAACAAGCTATCTCCTCGATTTTGGTCAGTTCGTTCACTCGTTTTGTATGCATGCCGATCCATAGAATGTACTCGGCATGTATTTTTTGGGTTGTTATCCAAAACGGATTCTAGAAGGTGCGTCGAGCTAACACGTTACTATCGTAATTTCTGATTTCTAAATAAAGTCCTTGGCAGTGAGTAAAATTAAAGTCCTTAAAAACTTAACGTTTTTAAGGACTTTAATTTTACTCACTGCCAAGGCTCACTTAACGGCAAATGATCATTTTCGGAATTTATTTTTTTTTAACAGCTCTGGTTTTTGTAAAAAATAGATGGCACAAACAAAACTCAACATGGCACAAAAGTCTACATCACGGAAACATTCCAATAAGCCTGTTAATTTTGTTTGTACCTCAAACTGGATTCCAGGCTCACGCAGCCAGAAAAATATATTCTTTCTACCCGAAACGGTCCTCTGAGACCAAGACTCACGGATTACTTTAATGTTTACAGTGATGGGAGCAAAGCATGTCACCGACCACAGTGCGACCAAGAGGATCCTCTCGAGAAATGCATACACTCCCAGGAACCGTGTCACTGCACAGCCTATGCAAATCAGCCAACGACTGCGGCATGACTCGACTGCGCGCAGATACGTGCAACTGTTGCAGGAGCTCCGAAGAATGTGGCAGTAACTTAAGGAGGGCAACAAATGCCCCTTTACGTCCAACTAAATGCTCCCTCACCAGGATCGAAGAGGAAACGGTTGACCGTGCATTTCCCACAGCGTGCCATGGCTCCGGTGAACAGGCGTGCTGCAATTGCCGTTGCACCTTCTCCGAGCAGGACGGTTTCTCCAGGCGTAATCGTAAACGCGCGTGGAGTTACGACCCCGACACCTGTCGGAAGAGTCGCTTGAACTTTAGTGACGATTGCACTTGGTCGAGCGGTCCTAAGTTGAGATGCGGTCGGATCGTCAGGGTGCCTGTACTTTGGTGGGCGAACTGCTTAAGGACAAGTCATACGCTGCAGACGGTTCTGATCCTCCTTGTTTATATCGTGTGTACGACGTACGGGGCAGATCCTAACCAGTGTGCGGTGGGCCTGAAAACACCAGGAAGTAAGTTCACGGGACTTAGTTATACATTTGATGCGAACCACCTAAATCTCTGGGAATTTTTTCCATTTTTTATTGCACTTTAATGATTACTAGTAATTGAGTATGTGCAGGGGAAATGAGGAAAACTATTAGAAATCGTTGTTGAAGATTTGGAATGAGAATATGTATCTCATAACGTAATAAAGGTACTGGATTTCTTGCCGTATGAGTTATAGGTGAATGTTCGGCACAAAGTTCTACCTAGTTTGCAATATTTTCGTTCCGCTATTTTATTATGGGAGCAGAACGTGTGATATTGATTTTAAATATTTTTAAAACGTTTATAACGTATTCGGCATAATAGAAGAGAAATATTTTGTGCTACTGGGGAAGTATACAGTTGGAATATAATTGCTGGCACTGTAAGACCTATACGCCAACTCTATGCTACCCTTTGCAGTACCACCGTGGACCAAGATTATAAATAAAACATACGTCGTGTACCTTATTTTGGAATTCTAGTGTCGAGCTAAATGCATATATCTATATTTAATGTACTAGGATGTACAGTCTCTGCCGAGAGTTACCAAAAATTTGGTATGCTTACTGTAAAGCGCACACTATAAGATACGTTTGATATAAGTGGCATACCGAATGCATTTATCAACGTTTTATACAGAAGGATATAAGTGGTGCTGAAAGTTATTTAGAAATTTGCAGTTTATAAGATTGATAGAGGGGCTGATTTCAGGCTAAATGATAAGATAAACCGCGGATGTTTACGAGTTTACTCTGTCAAGGTTACTACTTTTGATTTTGATCTAACAAAATTTGAAGTTTTAAGGGGAAAGATTAGTTGCCTTTGTAGATATATATTATATGCAGGAAAGTTGTGTGCGAGTGTTTCAAATGTACAGGGTTAAACAAGATTTTAAGCCTTTGTATGCTGTTATCTAAAAAATCTGCGCGCTATTGTTTTTCGAAGAATACGAATTTTCAATCGTATACTTTTTATTAAGTTGCCCCGTATCTGAATATTGTAGAGGTTTATCTTATTTAAAATTTTCTAATTCTGTTATTTTGGATCCTAAAACATGTATCCACTGTTTGTTTAGTAATACACAATTGGCCGTCATCGATTAATTCTTAGAGTAGTGAATATTATTTTTGTTGAATATTTTGTAATAGTTTCTTTTGAACTCTTTTGTAGAAACTTGGCCACAAGGCGACATTGTTCTCGAACATGGCCAGCCTCTTCGAATCCTATGCATGCTCAACAAGACCTTCATAGAGACGAATTTCCCTGGAAAGAATGCCTCGGATCTTGTATTCTTCCGGAATAAAAAGGAAATGGAGCCGGAATATATTTCCATAATAAACGAGACGACCATCGCCCTTTACGTCGAGAAACCACCGCCTGCCGAGGACATGTATTACTGCAAGTTGAGGATGAACAACGGGCACAACAAGCAACACGAAGCCGTTTGTTTAAACAAAGTCGTGATTGGCTGTAAGTGTTACCATTTTTTATGCTAATGTGCTGAGAAAAAAAAAAATTCGTCGGTACTCCAAGTATCCAGTTTACAAGTAAAGGTGTACCTGCAATTTATTGTCGGTGTTTCATGTGTCGATAATTCCAACTGAAGTATTGTCAGGGACTTCCGGGAAACAATGATTTACCCGATAAAGTGAAACAGCAATTTCTAGCATACATGCGATTTAAAAAATATTCCATAAAATTCTCATGGTTACGGTTAATTATTTGGGGGTTATACGTAAAATATTAATAATGAAACTCCGGATTGAAGTTTGAAGAACTCGTGTAAAACCTCTTCAATTTTAAATGTTGGTATGCTAATGTGTATTTCAAGGGAAAAGAAAACATTTTTTTGTTGTATAAAAATTCTGCACTTGTTCGAAGTTGTACATAACTTCTGTCAGGATGTACTTCCAGCGTAAGACCCACATTGGAAGTACAAGTCATAATTATGAAACAAACGTAGGAATGCTTATCGCAAACTGCCCTCCACGTAATTGGAGCCGCCATTTGCCATGTCACTATTCTTCCAGGAAGGAGGAAAACGTAATGGCAATTGTTTATTAAGATGTTATGAATAAGTGGGACGGCTCTCGGTATGTTCCGTAGAACGAGAATGCGTATCTGACCCGTTATGAAATTATCATTTCACTAGAGAAGTGACTTTCCTTTAGAAAAGCACGTCACTGTCGCTATCCTTATCAGTGTTGGGTCAAAAGGTGTACTTGCATGACAAGACTCTCCATTCATTCGTACTTCCCGGCGGAATTGTGTGATTGGCACTTGTTATTTACGTATCGCAATACAGAAGCTGCCACATCTGAGCGTCCTTTCAAACCGTACAGTCGCCTAAGAGTTTATCAAGGTTTATGACGTCCATTTAAATTTCTAGAACCTCGGAGCTAGCTTGAACTACCAAATCTAGTTGCCTTTGTTTTTATCACTCGGAATAAATAAGCCTTCACAAGTAAATTAAGGGACATTGTACACCTAGAAGACTCAAAAATGGGACTTTCAGACATTGCTTTCTTCGTCTTTATAATAGTTATTGCACAGTATCCACCTATTCGGTGCATCCAGTTTGAAGAAAAGTTTTATAAATATTTTTACGTTTTATACATATGTAGAATGACCAATTTATATCACCTTAACATAACAAAAAACCATGTTATTTAAGGGGATTTGACCAGCCTTGTGATATTTCGGAGTACTGATTGCTTCGAGAAAAAAAGCATACCACAGAATTTCATAAACACTCATGGAAATGTATAGTTTAGTTTTATGTATACAGCATCCGTTATGTTTAAATATAAAATGGGATTATCGTGTCTCCGTAGAATTGAAGCCAGTGGCTGTTTAAATATGTAGTGTATGTTTCAAAATTTAGTCGAAATTCTGGAAAATTTAATCTCAACCCTCCTTGGAAGTTACATAGAATAACATGCCTATCTTATGAATCGTTACTGTCTACGGTGCAAATTCCGACTTTCAACGTGGTACGTCCAAAAATAAATTCAGGGAGCGAAACTTGATATGAATCCGGGTAACTGACCTTTCTGGTAGTTCTAGTAGTCAACGTTAAAGTTAGATACCACGCGATATAATAAGATTATTATACTGCCTCGAGAATAATGTATGTCTGAAAATTGTACTTAAGTCGAGTAACATGGCGATTAGAATTGTTTAGCGGGATCTCGAGGCTTGGCTTAATTTTTCTTTATATAAATCAATACATGACTGACAAAAAAAAATTACACGGGGTGGTATATTTCACTGTACAGCCGTGCAAATAACCGTTAATGTACTTTCTTTTTGATCTTCTGAGAATTAGCCACCCTCCGTACTTTGCGGCACTTTGCTGTCTTCATTTCCAAGTACCTACTAATGAGCTTTACAGTCCGCAACCTAAAATAAATTCCCTTAACTCTTTTTCTCCCCTCGTGTCTTCAAATTAGCTGTTCCATTTAATTAGCGGTGGTTTAATATCCGATTTTCTCTAATGCTTCATTCGTGTCGATATTATAGGGGGGTACCTATTAGGTTGAGAAATAAGTTCCCACCGTTTTAATTACGTTACGTATAGCAAAGCAATGCAGGTAGACGATCGTTTACTGATTTTCAGTTTATGTTTTTAGAGATTATTTCGGTAATGTTATTAACATAATCAAAGTTTTTTGTAAATTATTCCGTATCATGATTGTTAATCACCCCAAACCTGTTTCAAGATGGAAGACTCTCAGCGGGCCAATAAAGCACCCTAATAACCACTAAAATGTTTATAGTCCTATTGGGGAGATCCGGGCTTTAAAACATATTGTCTTATTCGGTGTTATGAAAGTGCTAGTCAGAAGTAAAATCATAAAAATTCCAATGTCTTCTCGTAAGTGCTGTAGAAATGCGCATTGCTATACAGGAATGGCGAGGTAGTTTTACAACATGTATAATTCATTTAAGTACTTGGTCGGTATGTTTTCGAGGAATGAATTAAAAACTTCAGAGTAAATACCCAACTATCCTGAAGGCGAGTTTACCGGAGATTAATGTGCATATGGAATATTTTTTATATCAAGTCACACACTGTAATGTCGACTATAGTGCTTTTGTATCGAAAATAATGTTTGTTGAATTTAGTAAAGCGACTGAAGTAACATAAAGCACTCGCTTCTTTGATAATGTGTAACTAGGATTGCGGCGTAATTAATTTTTTTTTTTAATTTATGAGAAGGTACATAATATATACTTATGATATTGGAAACTTGAAGTGCTTATGGAATATATGTTCTCTCTTGCTAATTTTCTCATTTATTTACAGTTAAACCTCGTGAGCCTCAGAACTTCAGCTGCGTCTCTCACAACTGGGAGAATATGATTTGTTCTTGGGATCCTGTACAAAATTACGTCACAACGAGATTTACCTTAGTATTCAAATTGCCAGGCAGAGCAGGGGGTCGGAAATTGTATCCATGCCCGAAAGAGAATCAAAGACCTCTTCCACCTAACACTTGTCTGTGGGACACGTCCACAAATCCAATTTACAGGCAACCATACGAATACTATACGTTCATATTGAACGTGGAAAATGTGTTAGGAAATATCAGCGTTTCGTATAAAATACACCACTTTGCACATGGTTAGTAACATGTACAAGTTAAAGTCAAAGGGGAAGAACACACTGTCATATTCTTATACATTTTTAACCTTAATATTTTTCTTAATTTCGAGTCAGAAGTGTGTATTAATGCTTATTTAAGAAAGAAACAGTTCAATTTAAGGAAACTAGCAAACCGTTTCATTAGTTAAAATTGGACCGCATGTAACGTTAAGTACGAGAATTCAGTTAATGGCTGAAAGAATATTATTTGCGTATTTTTTGCGGAATAGAATTTTAAGCTTTCCAATCAAATTTAAAATGTAGCTCTGACTTTACCGAGGGTAATTTCAATCACTAAACAGATTTACTGCACGAATAATATCTCCGTTTTACAAGATCCATTATTTTAAATATTTTTTAGAAATCTAATGAATTTTTAATTTGAAATACTTAGTCTTCCCTTTGTATTTGGCTGTGAAATGAATCATCCATTCCGTATTGTGATTAGAAATGTTTTAGTATATTTTACTATTTGCATGGAAGTAACACTTTTCATTTAATTTATAGTAATTCCTGCTAAGCCCGCCAACTTGTCAGTAGTTAATAAAACATCGGATAGTGCATTGTTGCATTGGAGCATTCCATTTCCAATGCAGAATTTTCCTCCTGGTTTGCATCACAGAGTCACGTATCAAAATCAGTGGGATCATCAAAAAACTTGGCAGGTACGATCAACTGTGCACATTATTAAACATATAACAGAAAAAAATGCATGTAGATGATATTCACGCGATATATGAGATATAGTGGATCATAGAACAAGTATAAACTGTTACACCACGGTAACAAGTGAAAAACAGAATCTCAATAAAAAACACAAATCTATAATTAGCACTGAAACCGATATAATGAGATATACTATTATCTATGTCGGAACATTTGTACTGATTTGATGAAAGCAGTTTACTTCGAATTGTGTATCACGCTTCCTCAGGAAGGAAATTATTCTGCGGAAGAGATTAATAAAAATATCTGCTCTTCCGCCTGTACTTTTCATAACTTCTGTTTGATTTATTGCTTCTCTTATTGAGGAAAGTTATGATATATTAATGGCTTCCTTTTATTTTCAGATAATCAACATTACTAATGACATTCACATGCATAAGAGATACTTTAATCTTACTAATTTAAAATATGCTAATACCGTTTACGATGTTAGAGTCTTTATGAAGAGTGCTCTAGCTATCGGGGAAGACAAGTGGAGCCAATTCAGTGACGTTACATTTAGAACTCCACCGAGACGTAAGTTATAGTGTATTTTTAGTGCCAATATATTTAACGGTGTTATTTAAATTAAAAAAATTCTTCTGGAATTGTTCACAGTGCCAGGTCTTCCACCAAAAACAGATATCGGAAGTTTTGAGATTACAGAAAACAGCGCAAACCGAGACGTCTATGTATATTGGCAAGCTATTCCACCGTATCAGGAAAACGGTGATAATTTTAAATATCAAATCGCCCACGTCGAGGAGAATGGCCGAAAATTATTGTTATTCCCCAACGAAACTACGAGAACTTATGCCAAGTTCAAGGGAATCAGTTTCAACAGTTTTCGCTTTGAGATTGTCTCTACCAACGTTGTTGGTTCGAACAAGGAGCGAGCTAAAATTTTCGTTCCTAGCCAATTGGAGAGTAAGTTGTTTTCTGTGTATTTATTAAGTACAAAATAATTAAAATTTTAACAGATGGGTGATACCAAACAACCTTAATGGGTATTTCTGAATAGGGGAAGATCATGCCTAATATATCATCTTTGAAGATTTTCGCGGTCACTTCTACATATTTAAATCTTTTTTCAGTTCCTCACGAACCAGTGGCTTTCACAAAAATCGCATTCGAGGGCGGCGTTTACGAGTTATCGTGGAAACAACCACTGGGAGATACAGAAATTACAAATTACACGATCTTTTGGTGCGACAACGAACGCGATCGTCCATATCAGTGTACAGTACGTGTCACGTAATCAGCCATTTCTTAAACCTAATACTAATTACTAGCACAGTAGAAAACCTAATTACGGCTTAGTGGAGCATAAACTATTCGTGCTAAACTATTTCTAACTATTATTAAAAATTATTCAATGGCCTCTAGGGACGTTGATTACATTTTAAGCTGAAAAGTAAATCGTACTACTATATAAATTTTCTATTCTCTAACTTTTCATGGATCTGATTGCATTTAATATCGTTTACGAGTAAATTGAAATGAATTTTTTTAATCTGCAGGGCTACCTCGACTGGGTGCACGTTTCGAGGAACACAACAATTTACAATATGACCGTACCAGACCCAAAGAAGGTGTATCAATTTGCGATCTCAGCCAACACAAAACGGGCGAGCAGCGGTATGGTGTGGGCTTCGTGTACAGTGATTCATAATAAGGTGGTAGGCAAGATGAAGTCCGTATGGATAAATCGAATCGGTTCAGACTTCATCGAAGTCGGTTGGAAGCTCGACTGTTCCGATCGCATTGGCATCGTCGAGGGCTTCAACATTTACTACTGCCCCATTGTTTCGCCGTACAATTTAAATTGTAAAGGGCCTAAATTGAATACCACCATCAAGGCAGATCCGCACACCATACACGGTGTCGTGAATGGTCTAAAGCCGTACACCACGTACATGTTGGCTGTTGCGGTTTTAACGAAGACGGGCGAAGGTCTTCACAGCGATCCACTTTACAATACGACTTTGGAAGCCGCGCCTACGACGCCTCCTCAAGACGTCGAGGTGACAAACGTCACCAATTCCACGATGTTTGTCATGTGGAAACCACCAGAAGCGATGAATGGTGTTTTGCGCTACTACGAGGTTTATTACAATTCGTATTCGCAGAAGGTCGAAGAAACGAATCACGTCGAATTGAAGGATCTCGTGGCGCACAAGAATTATAGCATTAGGGTTTCTGCCTGTACGGTTTCGTGCAGCGTCAAATCGCCAGCTATCTTTAAGGTCACCGACATTGGAACGCCAGGGAAGATCAACATCCCTAACGTCCGTTTCATAAACTCCAGCCAGGTTGTGGTACTGTGGAATAAACCGCAAAATACAGCAGGTCATTTGGATTACTATCAGATATCGTCCAGTGATGGCGAGATTCAAAACAGCACAAAGACTGGTAAGCAGATTAAAACAAATACGGATCGAATACTGAACTGATACGTGTGAATCGACCTTTGTACTCTTCTTATATTGGGTGGTCCAGCAACTATTAGCACCTTTCATGTCTTCGAGTTTATGGGGATTGGAAATAAAAGGTGACGAATAAAAGTTACACGGCACAGATGGCGCTATAATGTAGAGTTAACGATATCTCTAATGGAGTTGCTTCCAAGATAGGAAGCCCATTTTTGTTTTTTCACAAAATACTGGATTTTTATAATCCACTATCTGATAGCGTCTCTCGAGGCGAGTACTATCACTATGAGATCTAAAGTCATTACAATTGCTTCCATTTGCAAGCGATGTTCGTCGGTATCAATGCTTTGTCTAAGTCATTCAAGAACACACTAAAATACGGTAATGTTCATGGACATCTAGTATTAAATTTCCGACAAAGATATTAACGCCATATAATGGTCCCATCTATATTCTCTTTTTTGACTTAGCAAAATTTAAAGATATCAAAGATGTTAATAGTTGCTGGACCATCCGGTATATTGTACAAACCAAAATACGTAAAATGTTGTTCCTCTTAGTCTGTATCCTCATTTTACATTCTTAATGTCAAGAAACATTGGATTGTTTAATTGCAGAGGCTCAACTCCCTATTCCTGATTGTAAGACGGTGGGTCGCGAAAGGCTGTACCAGTTTCGAGTAAGAGCAGTCAATGTTGCTCCTGACAGCACTCACCTGAAGGGACCTTGGTCCGATCCTGGTGAAGGCAACTGTTACAGCGATGGTGAGTTTTTTCATGAATGACGTTTAAGGAAAGATTCCTTTCAGTCCTTTATTCATCCTCCGTTTGGTTTCTTTAATTGAATCTATAGATGTATTCTTTTAATGCCAATAGGACCTTCGTTCAGAGTTTGGATCATCATATGGGTTATCGGAAGCTTCAGCGGGGTGGCTTTTCTCCTTTGTTTGGCGTACACATCTAAGCGGTAAGTCATCGTTTGTATCAACAAACGTCAATATTCCTCATCTACTTATTTATCATTTGCTATTTATTGCACATTTAACATTTACAGAATGTGGCTGAAATGTAAGGCTATGCAAGATGTCGAGGTGAAGTTACCTCCTGGACTTGCTCCAAACATGGTACGTTGACATCTTAGTAACTCATCAAACACGGTTACGTTACAATAATATAACCGTTACATAACGTTTGTAACACGTAACGTAACATACATATAATATACAAGTAAGATTTGTATAACTATTTCTTACGCAGTTATATAACAATGTTATAGAACGAATAATGTAACGTATACATAACATATCGGTAACATGTTGCATGTTATGTTAAAATTACATGATCCACCTCTGATGCAAGATCTTTTCAATCTTAACAGTATCGCATAATTGATGCCAATTTTCAATAATTGCAGAAATTGCTGCAAAAGGTTGGAGAGCAACATTCCCGGCAATTGTCAGCGGATTCTAGCGGATGTTCCAGTGGCCAAGAATCGGTGACTTCTTCTTTAACGTCGGATTCCCACGTGTCAACGGACAGTGGTGCAGATGTGGATCCAGTCTCGGTATCCCCTAACAAGCTCCTCGAGTCTACTCCGACCTGGGAATCGTCGAGTCTTCGGCAGCGAAACGTCGGTACGACCCGTCCAGGTGGTACCACGGATTCGGCTCGATGGGATCCGTATGTAAAAGTCGCAAAAACCACGGAAACCGCTCTTGGCGACACGCTATCTCTAGCCCGGTCTACTCCAAACCTGACGGACAGTACAGGGTACACGACGTCGCAACAAACGTGGTCATCTACGGGGTACATCAGTATGCCATCTTCGGAAGAGTTGTCCAGTAACCCAAGTCCAGTTCCAAAGGATACAACAAATGTAGGAGGCTACAGCGTAGTCGGCAGGGTACCCAAGCCAATTCGGTCGAAGTCCGAGGAGGACTCCGAGCTGACCAGCAACGTGACCAGCAATTTAATTTCGATTAAACCCGAGACAAAGCTTGCCAATCCGTACGTCAGTCTGGCATCTCTGGAGCAGAGACCGAAAGAGAGAAAGGTTCTAGATTCTCTGCAGGACCTCGACGACCTGGCCTTCGTCGAGTCGAGTACAAAGTCTACCCTGGACGACCTTGCTCCATTCTCCATCTCGGACAAGATCTCCAAACCCTATGTTCAAACTGGACTCAGGAAACCGTTTTCCACGTGCGCCGTGGTGGATCCAGGGAAATGCGGAGTCCTGAAAGCGTCCCTTGCCTCGACCTCTCTTACAGACTCGAAGGGGAAACCGTTCGTTTCCACGTTTTCCAACCAAATGGGAAAATTAGAGCCACCTACGGACTTCACCTCGAAACCGTACGTGCCCGTGACTTCGTCATCGGGGCTCCAGGATGTGCAGAAACCTTATGTTCCCGTTGGAACTGGCTCCGACAGCTCGACGAAGCCGTACGTTTTGGCCACCTCGGTGTTCCAGATGCTCCAACAGCAGAGGGAAAAGTCTGAGTCCTCTTCGGACGTCGAGGAGAACGAAATCGAGGAGGTCTCGCCTGCAAACTATCCCTTCTGCTGGCAGCACGAGGAGGCCGATCAAGGTGGGAAACCTGAAGAGAAACCTGTGGGTCTGAGCGCGAAACAGACCGCGGGGTACATCACCATTGCTGATAATCCAAAGTTGGAGCCTCAGGGTGCGACCAACACGACCACCTCCCCTTACGTACAACACCAACGGTTCGAGAAACCGATTCAGCAAGAAAGTGCTGCCCCGTCGGACGAGCAATACAGCAAGGTCGCGGTTGTACCGAGCACTATGAAATGAGGAACCGAGTCTCGGCGCCGAGGGGACTCGTTGAAACGTATCTGTCGAGTACGATTCGCGGATTGACGATCGCCTTCCTGAACTCACGTTTCGGGATCGGCGATGGGACGGGCTCGGTGTTATTCTAGGACTTGTCTAGGATAAAGAGCCTGACGGTGCAATATGGGGGATTCATGGTCACCAGTGTATTGTATTTTGGAGGCCTCGAAGCCCCGAAACCGCGCGCGATCGTCGCCCGATCCCAGTGTCCAGAGATGACTTTGAATCGCTATCGTTAGAACTGGGTAAGATCTCTTAAAACGGTCATTAGGTGATATCGAGTCTGTTGGAGATTCACAACAATATTTGCGTTTGAAGTTCACGGTAACAGGACTTTGAATCGCTGTCGTTAGAACCGAGGAAGATCCCTTCAAACGGTCATTAGATGATGTCGAGTCTGTTGTGGATTCACAACGATATGCACTTGAAGCTCGCGAGAATAGGACTTTAAATTGCTGTCGTTAGAACCGGATAAGATCTCCTCAAATGGCCATTACGGTGATATCGAGTCTGTTCACAACAATGTGCACTTGAAGTTCACGATAATAGGACTTTAAATTGCTGTCGTTAAAACAGGATAAGTTCCCTTCAAATGGTCATTACGGTGATGTCGAGTCTGTTGGGGATTTGCAACAATATGCATTAGACAAAACGACAAATTGTGATATGCCAGTGTTTTTAAAGAGGTACGCTCGTTTTTAACACCTCACCGTTATTGCCGATCTGGGAAAGCATGAGATAGATGATCCGAGCCACGAAGGAATCCCTCGATGTCGAATTTTGTGAAGTTGTGAATTCCCATTAGCCATTCTTTGGGTCCGACAAAGAAGGAGGACGATTGCCGAAATTGTATTTGCGACTCCCTGGAGTCATCAAATCTTGAGCGATCATCTCGCACCAGGATCCAAAGATGGCTTTGAATCGTCGTTCCTAAAAACGGGCAAGATCTTCCTACAACCTACGATTAATGTTACTCGAGTAAACGTTTACCGTCTATTAAGAATTTCTTTGCCTGGGTAATTTTCATTCAATTCGTATACACGATAATCTTGCCGCATGGTGCATGACGCACTAAATATCATGTGATTATGTAACGCTGCAATTGTGATGGCAACGTCATTGTCATTATCAAACCCTCTTTTTTCCTGCCGCGCCTAATACCAAATACGTACACGTCGAGCACTGATTGGATGCAGTAAGAACGTAAGGATTCACATCCCGGCATGAATCTGCATATTTAGACACGGACTTCGAATCTCTTATCTGAAACGTCTTCCGCAGAAACTTTAGAGACCGAGAAATCGAGCTCCGTCTACGTATTTTCTTTTGCATCCAATTTTCTTATCAGCACAGGCAAGTGATGGAAATTTTCCATCACTTCGTCTATCTGGGATTTTACCGAGGAATGACGATTCGACGGGGAAATTTTGGCTGTTTGAAGTTAAAGGCATGCGACTTTGTGTATTCCGAACAGACTGCGTACCGTTTGAAAGTGTTCATTGTTATCTTGGCCTGATTGAAAGTGACCTCTCACGACAGGGATCGGAACGCGAGTACGATGGTATCGTACAGGTGCGATGATTAATTTATACCTTGACTCATTGGGCACAACAGGTGCCATTTGTCATCACTCGCGGGAACTCTGTGTACAAAGCGAAATCACTTTTGTATCATACGTGTGGAATAATGATAGCGCAAGAAAGTGACGTAGAGAGGACGTATTAGCGACGTCGTAGCCATAACTCTTAGCTTGTAAGTAAATTAAGTGGCCGCACACCCATCGACAGGCGGCTCGTTGCCGTCGAAACGATTCGTTTATTTTAAGTAGAGTACCTAGCCGCAGTACGTTTCAAATTAACTTCATTGTACAGCGAATCGTCGTTTCATCTCACTCAATCGGCTCGTCCGCCTAGCTTTCCGAAATTCAACGTAGAATTCCTGTTTAAGATCAGATATTAATCGACAGATCCGTTGCGTTTGAGAGAAGGTCTTCTTCGTAATGAGCCATAAATCCATACAAAACAAGCGAAATGTTGTACACTTTTGTTAAACTTGCGTTTAGCCGGTCTCTGATCGCTTCGCGTAATTTCTGTTGAGCTTTGTAGGTAATTTTAAACAGGCTAGCTCACCTGAATCTTGGGACCTCAATGAAATTGTACAGGCTGAGTAGGGGTTTATGAATTTTGTAATTTAATATTTATACGGATTAATGTGTTCTCAAAGCAACCGAGAGGATTTGAAAATGTCGATCGCAAGTTTCGAGGCTTGCATTCGTTTGGGTTTTCCACTTTCCATCTGTCTGGGCAATTTTATGAAATTCTGAACTTCCAGCTCGGATACGATTCTTTACGAGATTTTTTGTGAACAAGTGTCTACTGTGGAAAATGCATTTCGGTACTTTAACGGGGATCTTGAAATGTAAAGACTAGTTTGTTGCATCAAGATTAACGTTACCGGGGATATAATAATTTTAAATTGATCTGGACTAATCTAAGCTCTCGAAAAGCTGCATACACAAATTACAGGGTTTTAGAGTTTATACATCGGATGTGCGGAAATTTGTACAGCTGAGAAACAATATTTTTCATAATAATTGTTATAATATTGTGAGCATCATCGTAAATATTTAACGATAACTTAGTTCCGAGAGAATATCCGATGACATTTTTTGTGAAATGTTTTTACACTGTTAAAAATAAGTATATTCAATTTAATGCAATGTGATGAACGGAATTATTTTATACACGTATATGTTAACTCTCAGAGACTTCAAAGTTTAAGAACGGCTTCGGAATCATGCAATAAAAGTTGAGAAATTCAGAGATATTTTATGACATTTTTTAATCGGAGTCTTTGACATTTTACGAATACCTGGATGGAACATTCGCTTTCTACGCACTGTATCAAATTTAATAAATATTTTTAACAGTGTGCGTGAAAGGTAAAGCGGACGATTCGATCGATAAATAAATATAGTTTCGTATGCCAATTTGCGCCGTAAATATTTAATGTTACCACCGTTTGGTCGATATTTTATTGCATCAAATTCTCCAAATTTTACCTGTCTATAATCTAATGTCAAGGCTTGATTAATACTCGTAAGACAGAAAATTAATTACTCCCGTCTACCATCGATTTTAATGTTTCAAATCTTTTAGTGTTCGAGATGCGAAGTCAGACAACATTATTGCTCAATTAGCGCTGCCAAATTGATTTTTTCATTTCCCTTTACTGTAGATAACAGTTTGACTTCATATTAATTGCACAGGACCATTGATAATCACACTAATGGCCAGTGATTAAACATCGTAAAAGATTTGGATAATTGATTCTTTAATTTTGTCGACAGATTTTCTGCGTCTATGGATTAACCACCCTGGGGGTAATTAATAATAATTGTATATTGAGAAAATCGAAATTTCCGGTGTGGTGCAATAGATTGTCGACCGTGGTAACGATGCCGAAATATTTTTTATTTAAAATTAAAAAAAAAGACCTGAACGAACAATTCAATCGGTCAGCAGAACTTGAGCAAAATATTGTTTGGATATTTGCCATATACATGTGTTTTGAGCCGATAGCAAGAACAAATACAGAACACATGTACGCATAATATTTTAAGCTAGTCATTGAGAGGATACATGAGTGTACGCGGCAGGCCTTTTTCATGCACCCCTTTTAATACATTGTATACTTCTCTTAAAAGCCTAAGAAATGCACGCCTTACATCGACATAACGGATCCGTAAGAGCACATAACATCATGTATATCAAAGTTGTACAACACTGTTATTTTTATACTTAACGTTGACATAACAGTGAAATAAGTGTGGCGAGTCATGATGCGTTAATGTACAATTTACGGTATTATTAATCGATGTAACAGGTGCATTTGTTAGGTGGACGATTGCCTACGGCCCCTTTTTTCGTATACCGTTAAACATAACTGCTAATATATTCAATTGAAAATCATTATTTCGAATGTCACGCATGCGTTCGTCAACACTGTAACTTTCATTATAATTCGTCTCGGCGATGATTTTTTTTAATTTGCGATCATCTCTGTTGCGACGCTTCATTATTATGGCGTCCATTTTATGAGTCCTTCCGTTATGCTTATTTCATTCTGGCCATTTTTACAAACATTAGTGTACCAATATTTCACGTAAACCGTTCTGGGACCCAATTATCGAGTACATACGGATTTGAATTGCAATGAATAGATTCGCATGAAAAAGTTTGCATTCTTGCGAAGTCGCGTCGTTGGTTATCATTTGAATGTTGTGTTAGAAATTGTCAATTTCACGTGCGAAGGTTGATCGTATGAACTCGAGAATCGAGTTCCTGTTACGTGTTACGATTTGTTTTTTCATGAAAGTCTTGCTCGGAAGTCGAATTATTTTTTTTTTTTTTCAATTATCGATGCGACCGTACTCGGTTCATGTTCACTTTATGAAACAACGGCTCGTGGCAAGGGGAACGCTTCGTTCGTGTCGAGAAATTTTGTTAAAAGTACTCTTTTTATTCATATTCGAAATCGCGTGCCTTGTAAAAGGGAATCGAATACTTAGCAATAGAATTTATTCGTGTCGCAGGTTTTTATACTAATGGAATCGCTGTACTGCTGCTTAAATTTTACATTCAGACTTTTTACAAGAGCAAATGAATCGCAATTTATTTCGGTAAATTCCAACAATTTCCACATAATTTTTAGCGTTAAAATCCATGATTTCTTGAATGAACACCCCCTCGTGGAGATCAGTTAAAACAATTTCCTTCTTTAAGAGCCGATTGCTTTTGATTTCATATGATAAATAACAATGCGATTCGGTAAGAAGTGACATTTGACTTTAGAATCGTGACAGTATTTCAGTAATTTCCAAAGATTTCCAGTGACTTTTGCTCGCGATTTCCAGCCGATTTCCACATAATCTCGAGCGTTAATATCCATGATTTCCTGAATGAATACTCCCCCGAGTAAAACTATACAATTGTTTCTATTTACCTATATAATGCTATAATACAATCAAACCTCGGCAGGAAACGATCCACCGAAACGTCTTGTCAAATTTTAGAAAAAAAAAAAAAAAAAAAAACATTCTATCGCGCTAATCAACGAACGGCCGAAATTGAGGAGCTTACTTTCAAAGTATCAATTTTCATTTCCACGGGCGATTATATTTTGACAATCTCGTGAACTCGATACGTACAATTGATCAACTAGGAAAATATGCTGTGTGACTTAAAATCCGTCGATAGGAATAAGTTTACATATACCTATACGTATACATATAGCTGTAAGTATAGAAACGATACGTGACACGAACAAATTTCTTTTTGGAAAAAAAAAATGTGTAATTATTCGATTTTGACGTAAAGCGACGTCAAAGGACGTAGGGTAATTAAGAATGCTGAAGAAGGCCTGGAGCTTTTGCAGTTTGGCTATTTCGTAGGTCTAAACTATACTATTCCCGGCGGAGTAATGAACAAACGGTTATTGATTGTCGAAGCTGAAGGTTTCATTATTCGAGCGTATGCCTTGCAAGTAACGAGTGAATTAAATAAACGTTTGGACCGACGAAGTATAACGCGGCCTGATAAAAATCGATGGAAATTTACATACATCTCTGCATACCTCATGAAGGTTTACATAGAAAAAGCGTAAATGTATAAATACACGTAACATTGTATATTTACCGCATTAGCGCATCTCTCCTCGAATTCGATGTAATATTACATTATAATGATCATTAACTTAACTTAGATGCCGAATGTGATATTACAGAGGCAATGTAATTTGACTGCGATTTATCGTGGCGTCGAAATAATCAATCATTGAGTATGTAAATTGACATGGGCATTTTTATCAGTCCACACTTCGCACCGAGTAATTGTGGGTCTCTCGGGTCTCTGTACGACTCTTATTCGAAAGCGAGCTTATAAGTACTCGTATATTATTAATATTTACTCCTACTGCTACAACTATTGTTATTATTATTGCGAGAGAAAGGCGTCAATATTTAACGTATTACTCGTAACACGCAAGCGCTATGTAGTTTTTACGACATTGAAAAGTCTGTGCTGAGGGGAGACCCGTCGTCAGAAGTTTTCTAAGGGGACCTAGCGTTTCCAAAGTGTCTTTTCTTCTTTTTTTTTTTTTTTTTGAAATACGTAAAATAGAAATTCGCCGTCTTTGTGGCCACGGGGGAGAAACTGGTAATTAAGCGGCGAAGGAACTTAAGAAAGTCCAGAAAGCGAGACACGTTCGCGTCGACTGAAAGTACCTTCGAGATAAGCTCCCCTTTGCTTAAATCGAGATGCCATAACGAAAGCGAAAAGGCGAGACTGTCCTTAAGGGTGTGTGAAAGTGGCATAGTGGATCTTTTTCATGAAACTTTTTTTCCGAATCGTTTTAAACCTTACAATGTTAACATAGAGGCTATAAGGAAGATCCTGACGCCCATTAAGTGTCAATTTAAATGGCTACTTTCAACATTTTTTATCGAAAATTAAATTTCCCGAGTTTTAGGACCTACCTTAGGGTCTCCTTATTCGTGTGGGACGATTTGAAACGAATTGGTACATACAATTCGGAGAATACTTTTACGAACGATATTTTCTTAAGGGGGTGTGAAAGTGGCATCTGAAAGCTCGATCGTTTATGAAGCTTTTTTACAAACTGGGTGTAGCGAGTGGTTTCAAAATTTACAACGTGAACATGGAGGCTATAAGGAAGGTTTTGACCCCCATGAAATTTCATTTTTTATAAACAATTTTGAAAATAATAGTGAATAAAATTCTAAAAAATTGAAATTTTATAGGAGTCCGGGTCTTTCTTATAGACTCCATATTCACGTTGTAAAGTTTGAAACGATTCGGTACACCCAGTTTGGAGAAAAGTTTCATAAACGAGAGACCTCTTTGCCGTAACTTCACGTAAGGAAACTGTAGCGTTTCGCGCCAAATACATTAAATAGTATGTGCGTCACCTTAACTCGGTATTAGCGAGGATTAAGCACGAAGGAGTACGTAATAGAAAAGCATTTCTTCGCGGCACAGGCTTCGCAGCGGTAGACAATTACTTTAAGTCACTTGCATCCGATTTTTAGATTTTACATATCTCCAATGTACATAGGCCTATTATTATCTATTTTTGTTATATATATTTATAAACGAGAAAGAAATACTTTATCACACGAGATGAGAGAAGTAGGCGTTAGGTTAAATTTTAAATACCAGATGAGAAGTCTATTATATCCGAGCATCGAGTAGTATCGTCGATTAATTACGTGAATTATGACATGTTAGATAAGGCGTATTTCTATGCAGTAAGTACACACACACATACACACACACATATGCGCGCGAGAACACAACTTTGTCGACTAATTTGCCTATCGGAGACGGCAGACGTCCACCGGCTCTAATATTTGCGTTCTTCGGTTTCCCCTTTTCGTTTCCATTCCCGTTCACTTCCCTCGCCTTTCCGTTTCCTTTGAATCGCGTAACCAAACGAATCTTGTATGATTTGCGTTAAGTAGCGAATTATTATCCGGGGTGGTCCAGAATTTAGAGTAGGGGATCTCCACGCCACCTTAAGGTGATGTGAAAGTGCCGCGAAGATGTCTCGTTTATGAAACTTTTCACCGGACTGAGTGTACCGAATCGTTTCAAACTTGACAATGTGAATGTGGAAGCTATGAAGAAGGTCCCGACGCCCATAAAATTTCAATTTTTACAAAATTTGTTTATAGATGTTTTCAAAATTATTTATAAAAAATGAAATTTTATGAGTTTCAGGACCTACCTTAGGGCCTCCACATTCGCGTTGTAAAGTTTGAAACGATTCGGTGCACTAAATTCGGAGAAAGTCTCATGAACGATTGACTTTTCGGATGCCACTTTCACATCCCCTTAAGGGGGGCTCGACACGATCTCAGCGTTGAAGTCGCCAGACTTGCCGAAACTCTCAAATTTCTTCTTTTTTTTTTCTTCTTTTCTTTTTTTCTTTCGTGTCCACGGGGAGAGACCTTAGGTCGTTTGCATACGCACCGGATATGATCATTTTCATATGCACCGGCAAAATCGGAGTTGGTGTCAGCTCTGATTATCATTTCACGTGAGATTACATTAGAATCGGCAAATTGATCGCTGGTCCGGCATCCGACTTACCGAGTTTAATGTCGCACAGTGGCAAAAATGACGAACAAGTTGGGCAAAATCTGAAAAATGAAATTTATATTTTGGGATTATCGATCGCCGGACCGGCGACCGTGCCGGACCGGAGATTGCCTGATTACGTGTGCAAACTCCAATTTATTTGCATTACACCCGGGAAAAACGCCGGCGCCGGTTTTTCCGATGCGTGGGCAAACAGCCTTAGGATCGATTCTACGTAGCGATTGATTCCTCCGGCCGATTTATCGAAAACCTTTTTGCGAAAGGTTTCATTGATTGTTGCCATTGTCGGATGAAAGAAATTCATCTTGCGCTAATTTTACGCTTACCGTAAATCGTAAGGTCGTCACTGGAAAAGTGTTAACCCAACACAGGGTCGAGACATTTTGGACTGAACTTGCGCGTTTAATGAGAAACGTTCTATGTGAAACGTCCTGATAAACGTTTCGAGTGTTTCGTGTAGATTTCCGTTTCATGTCGAGGACGTTGCGGCTCTTACGGAACTCTGTCTCGTTTTTTGCTGTCTTTCGTGTCTCTCACTCGACGGAACGTTTGCCCCTTAAATGCTTGAAATGGGAAATATTATACGTGTCTCAAATTCGGGGCAAAAATGGCAAATTCCGGGAATATTCATGAACCTCCATTTTGAAATTGTACGTTAAAAGATCGTGCGATCCTGTCGAGCTTTTTCGAGCGAAAGGACGTTCAAAGCGAGACAATTCGAGTCACGGTCGAAGGAGACTTTTGAATTCTTCAAAATGTACTTCCACGCGTGACTCCGTTTTTTCACGAAGCTGAAATCGTGCAAATTTGGAGATGAATATACGACCCTATGTCGCGATTATATTGACGTCGAAAGGATATCGATAGAATTCTGCGAAAAACGACTGAGCACCGTAGAAATAACGGGATTTTTATGAAACCAAATGGGCCTACTTAAAAGAGTTACTATTGTAAAATGCGTCTTAATCGGATCGAATTCAAAAGAAAATGAAAAGGTATAGGAAATATTTACTTACGGGGTCGTTGTACTAGATCGTTACAAAGAATTTATGGCAAGAACGTTTCTAATAAATAAGTCAAACAGAATTTCATTGCTTTTTGTACTTTAATCGTGGATATTTTCTGAACGAAGAATTTTCGCCAAGAATCCGTACCATCATTTCTTAAATAACCTTTTCTACTTTTCAAAACTACTTTAACTTTTTGTATCAGAATTGCGTTCTCGTGTACATGAAAAAAAAAAAAAGAAATACTCAGCTTCCACGAGTCCGCCATTTTGAAACGCTTTGAAGTTTTGCCCTCTCTTAAATTCTGCATTAAACGCAAAATAAAACGGCCCCGTAAGGAAATATTTCCTATATCTCTCGCTCCTTTTTAAGCCGGCTGATTAAAAAGGCATTTTACAACCTACTAATCCTTTAAACAATCCGGCCAATTGAATTATTCTTTTTTCTTTTTAACGTTACGGCCTAAGCTGATCGATCTCCGTGAATTCAAAATCGATTATCGGCGCGCTGAAATAAACTAAGGTTATTAAAATCGAAAATAGCAGCGATATGCGGCCGTACAGTTCTCGTAAAACTTTGACAGTCAGAACTAAAGGGTCATCGTGTCAAAAAGTGACAGCAAGTACGTTTGATCTGTCAAAATTTGGCATGCGTGAATTAACGCTTCGCAGGCGCGTCGTTTGATTCCTCCAGCGCAATCTTAGTGCAATGACCCCTCGACGGAACTAATAATGTACATATATTATACATATATACATATATATATAAATATCTATATTATGAGCGATTTCTTTTACATTTGAAATATTTAGACGGTGCGCCGTTTCGCGGCGTCGGACGGTCTGCGAGGAACGAATAAATCGGGAACCAAGCCGACGATGGTCGCCGATTTTCGCGAGGAAATTCGGCACCTCGCAGAAAATAACGAATTTCCCTTGGTTTCCCTTCTTTTCCTTCCACCGCGAACAGCCTCGTCGTCATCGGAGCGAACTTTGGAAAATCCGCGATGCCCATTTTGTCCCCGAAAATTGGGGGAAAAAGGAAAAAAAGAAGGAACGATCCCGAGCCGCAAACGACCAGCACCGCTAATACGGAAACTAATCTCTAAATTAGACCTTGTGTACAGAGTATTGTAAAATATATTTTTACTACTTTTTTTCGCTTCACATTATTATTTATTTATCACGTCTCGGGACGAGCGCGCCCTGATATAACATTCTGTCATACTCTGAGGTGTCAATAAAACGAGTCACTCGACTGGTTGCCCGATATCCATTTTCGAGTTGGCAATTGGTTGCTCCGTTAACACGTTGAACGAGGCCAATGGCGAGGAAACTATTGTCTGAAAGTTAAATAAAAAAAATCTTCGACATCCCTCGCTCTGCGTTCCACGTGATAAGGGGCAACGAGTTGTGCGATCGGAATCAATTTGCCTTTCAGCGATATTTCTCTATTTTTTAAGTGAACATCCGGAGGTGGAAGCATACGAATTCGCGCGAATAGGCCACGAATATTAAACACGATGAAACGAGCATAAAGAAAATTAGTTCATTTGAAATCGGTTCAGGGTATTTTCATGTCCGATTCGCAAAAGACTGTTGGTAAATCAACGTATTTATTATAACGCTTACTTTACAAAAATACTACTAACGATGCTTTAATGGAATCATATCTAACGGCTTCTCTCCAGCGTACAGAACTGAACGTTTCGATTCCCTCGACGTGAAAAGCTCTAAGTTCATAGTAGACACATTTTCATTAAATGTAGTATTTTTTCTCAACGATCTCTCCACGGGAGCTCAATAATAATTCCACGCGAATTGTTACGACTGTGGTAGTTGACATCGTAATAGTGGGCTACACGTCGGAAAAAGAAAATGTTATTTTCCTACTTTATACCCAGATAGACAGATTTATTTCATATTGACTTCGTATCGACTTAATATCGCACATTTTTGTGCGTGCATTAACATCAATGAAAAAAAGAAAAATCTTTCTTATATTTCAAGCTGGAACGAGACATTGTTATCCACGACAATCTACTTAGACTGAATAATGTATATTATAATGTAAATTGCTCGGACGAAAGTAGCCTGTGGTACTTTAACAGTAAATTATGTTGATTCTGATTAACTAATTTAATTAAAATGGCAAGATGTTAATGTAGAAGTAGTAAAATATAGAATATGACGGTATTGCGAGGAACATACAGTGCAAGTACACAAAGCGTAATATCGTAACGTGAATGCACTTCTTCGGTGTTCAACAAACGAGTGCTACATGCAAAAGCATGTATTACAATTTTATAGGAAATTAACGCACGGAATTAGTACTGAGCTCCCCTTAAACTACTTCGATGGCATTACCTCATTTGACGATAAATTTTCCTGATTACCTTCGTTTTCCACCAACGATGGCCTCTAATACAGATTGATGTAGCTGTTTTTTTTTTTTTTTAATCCTGTCTTAAGGTTTACAATTTACATACACGTGGACTAACTCAGCGAGGTTTATACCCTCTCGATTAAACGATACATATCTTAGGCCTATGGATCTATCATGTCGTTCGAAAAAAGTGAAACGTTGGAAGGTAAAACAAAGGCGCAAATATAGAAACTGTAATCGCACACATTTCTCGGTAATCAAGGTCAGTTTTCGCTTGGATCTTCAATCTCGATACTTTCTTCGGTACGAAGAAACTACTTTAAGCAACAATACTGGAAGATTCATATTTTTGGTGCAAAGATTCTCCTTTGTAATCAGTGGAACAAAACAACTATACTATCTTTAAAACGAAGATATGCTAAATGAAGATATGCCGTGGGAAAGATTCAACGGCAAATGCTCCGAGTTATTTACTATTTCTGAAATGCCATTACTAGACATTTGAAAGATATAGACAGCCATTCAACGGTAAAAATATACTTCCACTTTCAAGGTGATATGAAAGAGTCATTTTATATGTATGTAAGAAAATATTTATATAACTTTTCTCCAAACTGGATGTACCGAGTCGATGGAAACTTCAGCATGTGATTATGGAGACCCTAAAGAAGAGCATGCTGCTCATGAAATTTCATTTTTGATAAAGAATTTGTTCATTTAGCTCAAAGCACTGTATTCTTCCTTAGGACCTTCACAATCACTTGTTGAAGTTCCAAGTGATTCGGTGCACCCAGTTTGGAGAAAAGTGTTATAAATATAAAACTCTTTCATATCGCCTTAAAATTTCAATGGAAACAACCAATAATACTCCTACACATGTACAGCTGGTTAAAATGGTTAAACCTTGTATGGTTCCACGATTGAGACCTGCCTTCACATTTCTTTCTTTCCAAATTCCTGAAAAACGCATTGTCACCCATTTTTCAGGAATTGTTCATATTTTTTTCTCAGGAAGATTCGTTCATATTTCATAGACAAAGTCTAGACGCGCAATTGTAGACCAGGCCTTCATCTTTTCAACGTAGTGCGTCAACGAGTCTTCGACTAGTTATTGTTCTTTTTCTCGGATTCCCCGTCCTTTGGTTGAAAGACTGAAAAAAAAAAATTCAAATAGCCAAATGTTAGGTTTAACTAGCTATTAACCCGTTGGGATCGAGGTTATTCACTCTAATTTAAAAACATCGACAGAAGGCAATACGTAACCATTTCCTACCGGACCTGACTATAATAATTGTTCTCGAAAATAAAATAATGGTATAGGTTCAGACCTATCGAATTAATCCCACTTTAACTTTAAAAAGCATAACAGTACAATGAAAAATATAAAACATCTTTGATAATATAAGTATGCGTTTATTCGAAGCATGGCCTCCAACAGGTCTAAAACTGTAACATTATTTTCCATACAACGGAAACTGTCTAAAACAGTCAGGGCCTGCTTTAAAAATTGTTATAACCACCACATCATACATAATCGTACATACGGTTCTTACGGGCAATTCCCGATAGACTTAAGCGAGTATTCAATTCCATAATTAGTGTTCGAGTAGCTCTTGAATCATCGAGGACGTATTCATTCCAGGAAATGAAAATTGCACATCCAAGCGACAAAAAATATGAAAACCTTTAATTTTTACGGTAGAAATTACGGTATTCAGGGTGTTTCCCATCTCTCGACAATGTACTTTCTGTATCTGATTAAAGGTAACATAAACCAAAGTCTTTTCTTTAAACTGTTACAAACGTAATGAAAAGTTTTCATAATTTTGTCCGTTACTGTATATACACACCGTACATCTTACCGATTGCCATAGAACATGATCTCAATGCCAATAACATTCTAAAACGAATCCTCACAAAGATTGGTTTGCCTTGCTGAAAACATTGCGTGGGAATAAAAGTAATCTACTGAAATTACATACCGATCTAAATATTCATCGACTAAGTGTTTCATGTGGAGCGCATTGAAACTTTATTAAATGATTGCACTCTTCAAACAAATTTCTAAGGCATTCAAACAAAACTGCTTAGTCCAGATGCGTAACTTATTTGCAATAGTAGAATTCTCCGTTTTGAATAAATTAAATTTGACAATACCATACCGCAGCAGTGGGCTGCTTTGCATGAAATCATTACGAACATTATTTAACGTACTACCAAATGTTGGTTCAGTTCAGCATCAAGCAGTTTTGCTATTTCCTAACTTTTTCTATGGTACAAAGGACATTCTTCCTCGCCTAAATACAAGGAATTTCCCTAGGTAAATTTTTGCTTAAAAACGCAGAAGTTAAAAAATATATTAACTTTTAACTTCTATGTGTCGTTTGAAGCAGCAAAGCCTCTCGTATCGATATAAATATCTAAATGTAATACAAACATTGGAACCTTCAAAATTCCACTTGTGGCCGGACAACATCGTCGCAAAGTGAATCATTGACTTGGGTGTGATAAAAAACATTTTTACGTGCACCTCAGCTTAAAATGTATTAGGCCATTGCACGAAGAAAAATAGGAATGCCTTAATATCCCTTGTTTCAAAAAACTTTTTTGGTCACAGTTAATTTCTGGCACGTCGACAACGACTTTTTCCTCATTTACACGTCGGCGTAATTTTTGTAGGTACAAAGCTGAAGTACTCACTACTATTGTTTCTCTCAAATCTGAATAAGTCATTGATCTATACACTAACTGGATAGCTGATATCCTACAAAAAAAAGCGGTACGTTTTGAAGCGACTACGGCCCTCTGGTTATAGCCACATGAACTAATTTCGCAGTATTCGTGCATACGTCGAAACAACGCGTTATTCAACCGTAAATTGTCGGGATTAATGGTTCAAAAGTTTTGCACATGCGCACACGTTACTTGTTTAGTATCGCTAGCCATGTGTAGTTGGCGCTGGGGTGCCTTACAGTCGTCGAAGTCCTATGCGTATAGAGCAAACAGGTATAAGCTTTCCAGTTAATATATAGATCAGTGAAATAAGTGAAAAATAATTCACGTATACCACATCCGACACTTAAGGCGATTTCACGGCTTCATTTCTCGAAAGAAATGTCAACTAAAATAATAGTTATCTATTCGTGGGGATTTACGGGTTGTTTAGTGTGGCAATGTTAGCAGGACAACACTATCGATTTATCCATAATGTCCAAATACAAATCGATTATCCTAATATTGTGCTATCTTCCCCTTAGAACTGTTATACTGATCATAAGATATGATGAGCTTGTTTAAATATAACGCATTATGTACATTAGATACGACGCATTAAAGCGTACAATTTACACTAAATATCTATTTAAAGCGATATGAAAGGTGATTCTATATAAATGTATATAAAACGTCAAAATATTTATAAAACTTTTCTCCAAACTGGATGTACAGAATTGATGAAAACTTCAGCATTTGACTATGGGGACCCTAAGGAACGTGCTGCTCATAAAATTTCATTTTTTATAAAAAAAAATGTTACCCCAGATTAAGACCAAGCATACATATATATTTTTTTTAATGACATTTCATAAGCACCAGGTTCTTCCTTAGAACTTCCATAATCATGTGTTGAAGTTTCAAATAATTAGATGCACCCAGTTTGGAGAAATGTTTTATAAATATTTTGACGTTTTATATGTATATAATGACCCTTTCATATCACCTTAAATGGATTACGTTATAAATGGGTCAATTCATAAAACGGTATAACTAGAAGAATATAATATCGGACCAATAATGCTGTTAAATTCTGCTTCGTGCAGTACCTATTAAAAGTGACAGCCATAAGGCCCTAGTTATCGTGAATCGGCCATTCTTAATTGTTATCAGAGGCGAGAAAATCGCACGAAATTCCCATCCAGTATTTTTCTAATCAAATGACATTTTCCAACAAAAACTAGCACCTCGCCTTTTATGTCTTAAATTAAAAATGGCCGACTCGCGGTCACTAGGGCCTTCGATATTTTTGCAACTGAAGTACTAGCTTAATTATTCAGCACCTTCGCATTGTGTCATTAAAATTGTGTCAACCACCCAAACATTTGAGCGGTGAAATTTAAAACGATTCGATAACAAAAAGTTCAAATAGTAAAGACACATTATTTTTCTTCGTTTGTTACCAAAGTAACTATTCGAATCCGTTGACTATATTTAAAACATTTGGTTAGCACATGGCATACCCCTGTACAATGTTGTTAGTATACAACAGGAGGTAGAATATAGCTCTTACTTAAAGTAGTTTAAGTAGCGTACAATTCTAAGTACGACAAATTCACTATAATAACATTTTCAAATAACCAGGACAAATGTTAATTGAATCTTATTTCTCACTATGTACGAAGGTACTGAAACTGCAAGTACATTAAGAGAAAAAAGAAAAAGATTTCCTAATTATCCTACAAAACATTTATAACTGATTGTTAGTGAAACTAGAAGTTTGTAAGGGCGCGTACACTCTCTTAGAGAGTTATCTATAACTGAGCTACGTCAATAGTTGGGGGGAAAAAAAATATATATATTAGTTGAATCAAAAGTTTGGTATGCTCGAAAAATTTAAATTTAAGAAAAAGAATGTAGCGAAGTGGTTAGACAAGACCGCTGTGTTGTTAATTGTACCATTTTATGATACGAATAGTACCACGATCCCCAGAAAAGGATCGTCGGAAGTAAAACATTCTTGACTTTAAAATGTATAGGATTCGGTAACGATCGTGCGAAACTAGATCTCACGTTGGTGTCGAACTCTGAAACGATATGAATTCTTTTTCGCTGTTCTACTCAATGAGGTTTCATTTTAGATCTGATATTTCGCCTGATCTTAATTCTATTATAAAGTAATCGATCCGTTTAACATCGTACTATAGTCCCTGATTCTAACTCATGACTCGTCTCAAAAATGCCGTTGCATTGTATACGTGATGAACGTGGATATCACTGTAAACGGCGCCAGTTTTGCAGTTTTACTAAAGACACAATCAGCCGACCAAAATGACGGCTGCGTATGTATGTACACGGTAATACTTGCAAGTCTAATACTTGGAGTGTCGTCTCTACCGTACGTTTAACATCCCAATCACAGTCTCGTCCCGTTCAATAGCTGGAAAAAAATATTATAGTATTTATTAATAATATAGTATTAAGATAATTAAAACAAAAAATCTAGAGAAAAAAATATCAAGTTTCACCGTTTCTGATGTTCTGGTCTAATAGTTAGAAATCGTGATTGATGTAAATTTAATCCACGATTTTTAAAAATGCAGGAACAGGATGAAAACGCAAAAAGGTATTATTCTGATAATCAGTTCAGCTAATATACCGTTTCTGTATTGATGTACTCACCGATAGTAACTGGGCTTAAAAGGTCCTGCTTTATTAAGACCCATATATTTCGCCTGTTCGTCCGTGAGTTCCGTCAAATGAGCGTCGAAGGTAGGCAAGTGTAACGATGCTACATATTCATCTAGATAAAAAAAGATACATTATCAAAATGGACATAACATATAATCGTTGTACATTCTTGTATAGAAAGCAGTCACAACCAATTTTTTGACAATTATTCTATATCAACGACTAATGAATACCATGTAAAGGTCGAGAGATTGCTTCTTTAAGGTGATATAAAAGACGCTGAGAAATTGAATCGATGTCGATAAAATTCTTCATTTTCAATTCTAAGTCTTTAAAAATCTTCCTTTAAATAGAACAACTTCACTACTTTCTCTCGGATAGAATTTGAATACCACTACGCAGAAACGTACCCATTCTTTTAGGCAATAAATAAACGTCGCTTTTGTATCGTCCTGGAGGAGCATTGAAAAGTTCAATAAGTGCCAAAGCTTGTGTCGCAGCCGTGATCGAAACGACAAAAGACGGGATGCTGGAGCAGGAGAGATTGACCAATCTACCTTCGGCCAGAAGGACGATTCTTTTGCCATCGGGCCAGATCACATGATCCACCTGCGATCTGACCTTTTCCCATGTCAGGTCTGGAGTACGTAGGCTATTCTGTTAAGCGAAATCGATGAGTTCTGGCTATGATTATTTCATATTTCGGATACAAAAGCTAAAAACAAGTGGAAAACATAGCATACAATATCTATTTCAGTATTACTGTGACCCATGTTGCACACGACGCAGCCGCTCTTCATCTTATCCATGTGTTCGCGCGTAACTACGTTTTTGTTTCCTGTAGCAGTGATAACGATGTCAACGTTTCTAATGACTTCGTTTAACTTCATCACCCTGAAGCCGTCCATGCTGAAAAGATTAAGGCATCTCCGATAATAAAGTTAATGGAACAAATTTAGGAAAATGCATAGAAAACTTCTAACGTTGCCATCTTTGCCATCACTGATGTTTACCGATATGAGAAGTTTATAATACTATCAGATTCATAATAAACGATGGATCAAGTTTCCTTTCACCAACCTCGGCAACATTTCACACTTTAAAGCCGCTTTACTGTATAAAATCGTAAAAGAACAGTAAATTACGTTTCCGATATGAACGATACCGCAGATGCATGATACATGTATCCTCCTGGGTTATAAATGTCTTTTAGCGCACATGTAAACGGTAATAAGGGTTCTCTATAAAAGGTGATTATTACACAAGCATACTAAAAGATCAGAGAATTTACCTTGCCTGTAGCGCACAAATTGGGTCGATTTCTGTAATATAGACGACACAACCTAAACCTTTGAGCGTTTGGCAGCATCCCTTTCCGACCTCTCCGTAACCGCAAATAACCACTTGCTTCCCACCAAACATCATATCGGTACACCTCTTTAAACTGTCGATGTGATCAAACATTAATAAGAAATTGTAATTAATAATGTTAATGTTATATGTAAATCATCTTAGTATCTCTGCATATACCTATCAATAATGGTTTCACGACAGCTGTAGAGATTGTCATATTTATTCTTTGTCACGCTGTCGTTTACGTTCATGGCAGGTACAGAGAGCTTGCCAGCTTTTGACAATTGGTATAACCTGTGCACACCTGTTACGCTTTCTTCTACAATTCCTGCAGAATCAAATTTTTATATTAGATACTTGAAGGTAATTTTTGTCAGTATATATATAAATGTTGTCTCCAAGCCCTCGCGATGTCGTCATTCTAGCACAGAAGCGCGTGACACTTTTTTTTGCCTTTATCCCGTTCGAATTTCTCGTTTCTCGATTACTAGAGTGTTCTAAATTGTTGTACAACAGTCCTAACACTTTCGTGTCTCATATCAGAGCCTTCAATAATTGTATATCGATTGAAATATGTGTCTTATTCGAATCGACTGATTTGTGGGGAGTTCCGTTTCGCCTTAATCGTAGACTCATACAATCCAACCCCTAGCTACTCACCTTGAATCATTTTAAACATGGCATTATACTTTTTCAACATAACATGAGTTGCATCTCCTCCATCATCCAGGATCATATTAGGTTGCCAATTCTCTGCCGCTAGGCACTTATCAATGCACCACCAAAAATCTTCCTCGGTCTCTCCACGCCATGCAAACACTGGATATCCGGCATGGGCCAAAGCAGCGGCCACCTCATTTTGGGTAGAATAGATATTGCACGCAGCCCATCTGACTTGAGCTCCAAGCTCTACCAGGGTTTCGATAAGAACTGCCGTCTGGGCATTGATGTGAGTACATCCAACGATTTTAGCATTCTTCAACGGCTGTTAAATACATTTACATGGTTAAGTACAAAATGACGAAACAATGACACAAAGAACCGAAAATTAATTACTTTATCGTCACTAGCTCGTTTTCGTAGGGCCATGATCCCAGGCATTTCTTGTTCGGCGATCTCAATTTCTCGTCGACCAAAGGCATGCTGATTGATATTCCGTACGCAGAAGTCGGTAAAGCCTTTCTCCGTCTTCTGAATTTTCTCACGAGGGGACACATCGTCTTCGTCGGATGAACTTCCTGTATAAGACGCTAAGGTAGAACCGAACGCCAGAAAACGTGCAACATTAGTACCACAATAAGATGTCGATTAGCCTTGCCTATGGTGATCCTAGGGCTCACTGGCCGTGAGTAATTCGTTTAAAAGTTAGCCAATCGTCATTAATAGATTCCCACTTTGTCATTTTTAGTGGTTTTCAATTTCTTCATGATATACGCGCAGCTAAATCTAGATTACATCCTCCCTCAATTTACGCGCACTTTTTTTTTTACGCGGTAAATTATAATACAATTTACGCAGTAGTTTTTATGTAGTAACATTATGTATATAGAATGACCCTGTCATATCACCTTAAAAATAACGGGTGTATAAAGTAACTTATTCGGCAATGATTTTTTCTTTGTTAAGCCATTTGAAATAAATATATATTTCTAAAACGTATATGTAAAAGCTTTTATTTCTAATATTTTTTCTTTTGTACTGTCAGACTTGATTTATGCAATTTTCATTAGCGTAAAGCGAATTCAAACGGCTACTCCGCATAAATTGAGGGACGGGTGTAATTGTGAGTACAAAAGCATGTACAAAACAAAATGTACGAACGCTACTTCCTTTGAAACAAAAAACACTGACTCATTCCAAGCAATTTGAGGGATGAAAACATCAAACATCGTGAGTACACTTTTCAAAATTGAAATTTGTTTTGCATTAGTCTTCACATAAGTCTGGAGATTGAGGTATACGTCGTACATGTAATAGTGTAATCAAAGTACAATCTTTCTCTTTAATTTTATCCTATCCCCATTCCTCATTTGTATGTGGCAAAATCATGAGTAACAGTCACATGCACAACATTAACTGATTACTGACAGACTAAACATTATGTCGTTGGGAAGATATTTCTTTACTGACCGATTTTCATAAATCGGATATATTTCAACAATTCATATAATTGCGTATGACGCTGTACTATTTCAATATTCAACACCACATTAGAACGCAAATACTTATAAACCAATTATCCTCATCAATGCGGAACATTTAGGCAGAAGAAAAATTATAAACGTTAACATTTCAAGTAGACTTATATGCGGAATGTTGAGTAAAACAAAAAATTTCCAGAAATCAGTCAGTAAAGCAATATTTTCAAATTATTAATAAGGCATTGTGAACATGGTTTTTACCGATTGATATTTACACATAACAAACACGTACTGTATTCCAAAACTGTTGTGAAAAATTTACAATTTTAGTACAGAACTTTATTCTGTTGAATAATGTATTCCTTATGTGGAAGAATATCAAAAGATTAGCTCGGTGTGACAAAATTTATATATATATATCGTTCCAATTTATTTCAAATTATCTAATAAAACATATCTTTTCTGCCATTTGTATTGATCAATTTAAGATTTTCACATGATTCACATTGCCTTAATCAATTACCATATGTTTAATGGGACTAATAAATAAGATAAACCACATCAAAGATCAACCTACTCATACCAGAACTGTAGCTGTCGGTGCTACTAGCAGACAGGGAACGGCTACGGTACCGGCTGGCCTTCTTCAAAGCTCCAGATTTGGAATCCTAAAAACATTAATAAATCAGAATACCGTCTTCGAACAAATATTAATACTACCTTCTACCAGAAAATGCCGTAAATCATATTTAAGCCAGTAATAAAATAATGCAGATGAAGCTATTCAATGCGTCGATGGATGTGCACAGACTAACATGGACAATGGAAATAGCTATCGCATCGACAAGATTCTCTTAAGATTTTAAGTTCTCTTAGAATATCCTTAAAAACTAGTATATATTTGCATAAAGTGACATTCTTATCGAAAGAACCTTTGTAAAATTTGAAATTTCATTTATTATGCAGACGTTCCATAGGATGCCAACCGAACGTCGAGTTACATCGTCTCCTTGTTATTCTGTGCTAACTGAACATCAAAATGAAATCATTACAAGGTAAGCATGTGTGCAGTAACTATAGTTCTATCGATGCTGGACAAAGCTGAAGGGAAGATGCGAATCATGATAGGGCAAAGCACATTTACGGCAGGATAGATGACAAGGTATTTGTGATTCTTACGCAAATAGTCTTACTTACTAATTTTGTTCTCTGACCGTGAAAGGCATTATTTGATGCCTCTAGGTTCTGAAATCACAATAACCACCATTTCATGATTCAACACAGTATGTCTTTACAGTACGAACCACATTCATGTAAGGAACTTCCTGAGAGGCTTATTAAACAAAGCGAATTAAAAGTCCTAACCCAATTAACAATCCGACAATTACGTTAACTCTTCTGCTAGCTCTGGCAGAACTTATATAAGAAGTTTATAGAGAACAGGCAGTTACACTTGTTAAACAAAGTAACAGCTCTTATGAGAGAGAACCACATTGCATCTGCTACTATTGGTAAACGTCATCGACTGTACTATTTTAAATTCATAGAACCAGACACCTGTGAAAGAGAAGAGCCTTTTAAAACTTGGATCGTTCATTGTTTTCCGTTTCACTGTTTTCAATCATTTATCTTGTATTCCAATGGTTCATTTTTTTTTCTTATTTAATAAAATCTATTTTACTTACTAGTCTTTGCATACTTTCATTACTGAAACAAATTTTGAACTGAAAATTGATGCAACTGATCGATCAAAGCCACCTTTCGCATTACCTTAAACGATAAATTAATTAATATCTGATTCATTTCAACATCCTATTAGTAAGATTCTCAGATTTTATCCTGTATATAAAATTACATTTCCTGACACTCACATGACGAGAATTATGTGGTGCAGGCGATGAGAGGCCTGTGCACTATGCCTAGGGTCGTATGCGTACAATGTTTAAGTGATCAGTAAATAACTTATAGCTAATGCATGAAAATGCTCTATATGTTAAATAATATAAGCGCTTCAAACCGTAACCACCATCCCATCATATCGAGGCATGCACTTCACTCCGTCTTCTGACCATCCCTTTCATTAAACAAACAAGATTTATGCCAATCAAAAAATCAGGGTTCAATATTACAAGCACTCAATTTTTATACAATAGCATTATAATGTTTTCAAAAAACTATTGAGTACTATGTTCACAGATTGAATAATGTCTGTTTTAAAATACACGTTATGTTATAAATTTCTGTGTGGAATACTGTATTACTTCCACCAAATCGGACAATTTTATATCCGAGTTATAATGAAAGTAATAAATTGCTTCATATTTGCTACATATAGTTTAAATAATTATAACGTTTCGAATCCTTTCATCTCACCCTGGATGACTTTTGATTCAACCATGTTTAACTCTTTACAAATTAATTTCTTTAAATACGATCCAAAGAAATTGACAGTTAATGCGAATTTTTACTAAGATCGGTATATAAAAAAAATTAAATTGAAGCAAAGAAACGAACCTTACATTTTTTTCATGCATTCAGGCGAAAAATCATCTTAAGTCTATCGCATCAGAGACAAAATATGTATCATTATATGTATGTACCATTTAAAATAACTTCGCAGATAGGTACAATTTATGGGTACTAAAAGTACTTTCAGTTTGCCAAGGTAAAATGCTCTTAAAGTATAATTATCGTTTTATGAAGTATAAAGCCTTGAACGACGCAAACTATCCTATCCATTTTTCCGATACCTTGAAAGAAAATTAGCTTTAAAAAAAAATTGAAAACGGAATCCAAAAAATTAAACAGATTTACCGGATATTTCATGCATCTGGTAATCATATAGAATAATTACCAGATTCATTACACGTTAGAATGTTTGTTTCGAGCATGCATAAAATTCTTACTAAACCGATACCGTACAATTCGAGCTTTAATGTCATTTATACTAATTGCCTTGAGGCTTATTTGGATTAACTACCAAATTTGTAATAGTGCTTTCAGAAAGTACCATGGCTTAACAAACGTCAATCCACAGACGCCAGTTTCAATTAATCCAGTAGTCGTTACATAATGTGAAAATGTAGCTCGAGAATTGTCACGAGGTGTAGCCAAAGAAATGTAAGCAAGGATACAAAGTGGAAACCGAAGGAAACTGGGACACCGTGGTATCGAATGCGCATACGTCAACGAGTTGACAAAATCGTGGAAGGCGCAGACGCTTATCTCGTGATCGCCCGAAAAATTTTACAAATCATGTGTTAAAAGAAAACAATAAGATGTTGGCCGAGTAGACTCAACAAACGCATCGTTTGTCAGTCTGAATGACTTCGAAGTGTCCACGTATTTGATGTGGAGAATTCGTGGAAGTTTATAATAATAACTGACGAGCTGACGCTTTTACCTTATTACCAGAAGCTGGATCGGTCACTGGACCGTCAGTAACCGCATTTCTATTATCTTTTCTGGACGAAGCACTATTCGGTCCATCTCCGCTGTCCGCCATTTTTATTCACATGATCGCAAAACAGCAATCTTTAAGGAATGAATGCTAGGTGACGCTACGATCACATTGCGCGCAATCGGCGCTACTCTAAAATCGACATGGAACGATACAAATATATTATATTCCGTTTTTGGTCATAAACACCGCAGATACAACACCAATGTTGTGACTTTGAAAAACCAGAATAATGCTTCCTTTGGAAAAGAAAAATGGTGTTCCGTTTGTTACTTTCTTGAAAAGTCGCGAATTGACAAAACAATGTGATTGGTTAACCACGAGCACGTGGTAAAGGTTCGCCGTTATTGGTAAAGAAAAGCAGAGAGCAAAGATGAGTTGAGAAATTGCCCACGGGGTGAATAGCGCGATCCCGTTCTGTGCTGCCCTCGGTGGAGAATGCAGGCGGCTCATGCACTTGCCCCCAATGGCGGCCCAACTTAGGGTCCAACTCGTCCTGCTCTCACTTATCTCTGATCAGGTATGAAGTGTCATGAAATTACTTTTTCTGCTATCGCAAATATAAGTCGAAGTGGTGTCTCAACATAAGCGCTTTTGATGTTTATACGAAGTTAATTTTCTCCTAGGCATCGTGATTAATAATCCACAATGGAAACATTGAGAAATTTGGCCTTCATTGAGAAAAAACCAAGATGCATGAAAAATGATTTCGCTGATGAAATCACACTCCCGTAAGAACATAGAATAAGTCAAAAGGGAAAGAGGATGTTTTATTGCTGCCTGAATCAGTGTTTCATGCATTCATTTTCTATGTTATGTAGGAATTAATTCCTTATTCTCAAATCTAAACTCACCGATATCCTCTGAAAATAATGACTGGTGATTGTGGAGACACTCTTAACGTATGTATATAATTTGGTCAAAGGTCAAACAATTTTGTCGTATGCTATCATATTGCTTCCGCATTCTTGTGACCTACTGAGATATTACTGCTAAACAGACATTGCACGAGCAATATCGGTCTTGTCATTTGGTTAATATCTGCATCTCCTGTCATAGCCTGCCTCAACGTTGGCTCAGCTGTCTGCTCTGCAGAATCGTAAATATGTGTGAATTGTGGTCAATGGACAACATAAAAGTTGCTACAGCGAAACGTCAGAAAAAAGAAAATGAAGTCCTTTTTGAAGACAATCCACTCTGTTTCAAACAAGAGGAACGCTCTGGTCAGAGAGTCTCTGCAGAAGCTTTTAAACACCAGTATCATGGAAGTGCTCGGTGCTCCAGGGGTAACAGAAGAACAGTCAGTAGGAAATTGCGACGAAGCCATGACCCTGTGTTCCGTCTTGGAAGCAATTTTCCTGCATGGCTTGAAAGATTCTCTTTTAAATCGGGTGACAGAAGTCCTCAGTGGTCCAGATTTCGATGCCATGCCTCAACCCAGCTTTTGGGGCCCCCTACTTGTATTCTCCCACAGACAAATCATAGACCAGATACAGAAACTGATACAAGTTAAAACAGAGGTAGGCTACTGTCGTGCTTGGATCCGCCTTGCTCTGAACGAAGGATTACTTTCAAGCTATTTAGCTGCAATTCGTAGAGATAATTCTGCCTTAAAACCTTACTACGATCGAGGAGCATTTATTAGAGATCCGGATTTAGTTGACGTGGCTCAGCGCTCGATCGAAAGCATAGATCATATTAAATTTGAACTAGCATGCAACACAAGCCTATTAAATATTTGGAGCAGTACACCACTGTTAATGGCTGGTGTGTGGTCTCCGCCCATGAAATCATGCCCAGTATTTAGCGCTGTAGACATTGCCAAAACAATAAATAGTGAACCAATAAATGGCAATTACTCTGATGAAGTTGAAACAGCTAGTTCTATTGGGAGTATAAGTTCATTTGATTCATCTCATTCGGCATTAAATCGAATTACACGATTAAATGAAGATGAAGCTCTTAAAATAATTCTAGCCAAAGAGAGATCTCATGTAAATATCCCACAAACTCGAGACCATTCTATACAATCTTCTCCCATTAAGAAAAGAGAAGTTGAGGGCTTATTGGAACAGAAGGAAACTATGTATAGGAAAGAACAAATGGATTCAGATAGAGATATGGATTCCGATGTAGGTACTGAAGATTGTACGTTCCTTGAAGGACCTTTGGACGAACTACGAAATGATTCTGATGTAACTGCTGTGGGGAACTCTTTGTTCAGGAAAGTAGGTTGGTCTACCTCTCTTGAAGATAGTGAATCTCTCTTGACCACTTCTGCTATATCCTGCAATTCGGGAACAGATGGTCCAAGAACACCGGCTGATGGAGCCACTTATGATGCTCTAATTCAAAGTTATCATGCTACGGGATATGCAACAACACCAAATCTCCATGAATTTCTCAGTAACTATCCTGCAAAGAAAAATGAACAGAAAGAATATGATACTCCGACAAATGAGGTCAAGGTATCGAAAGACAATTTCTATTTAAATAACTCAGATATTTCTATATCGTAATATATTATTTTACGCTTCTTAATTCACAGATATTAGGATATTTATCAAACGGTCTTTTCCTTTTTCGAAAAAACATTTTTTTAATCTAATTTTTAGGCTACGAGTCTAGAGGATCAGTTGGGAAGACTTCCAAGAGAAAAAGGCTTAGATTTACAGAATTATAGCTGTCTTGGCTGCGGTCAGCCTATTGGCATGAAATTTTCCAAGGCATGCGTGTGCTCGTTCTCTGGTGATTATTACTGCTCCAGTTGCATGGCAACTGACGAATTCCTTATACCATCCAGAATGATTCATAATTGGGACCTCAGACGATATCCAGTTAGTCAAAAGGCTGCCGATTATTTGACCAATTGTCCCACTTTACTGGACCTTAAAATCCTAAATCCACGAATTTACATGGCTGTAGATAATATGGCACAATTGCAGTCCCTGCGAATTCAATTGAATTTATTAAGAGCTTATTTATTCACGTGCCGGGAACCAATTATAGAATCCCTGCAAAAAAAGGTTGCTCCAAAAGACTACTTATACGAGCATGTGCACCAATACTCCCTTACGGACCTTTTGGATGTGCCTAATGGAAGTTTGGCTCAACAACTTCACAAAGTTGTACAGTTCGCTCGAGATCACGTAATGACGTGTTGGTTATGCAGCCAGAAAGGCTTCATTTGCGAAATCTGCAACAATCCAAAAGTTATATATCCTTTTGACATGGACTCAACATACAGGGTATGAGTAACTTTTTCCTATTATTTAATATCTTTACCATTTATTTCTCAGATTCGAGATTATCAAAGTTTACATTTATTTTTTCATGAAATTAATTATTATTTAATATATAATGAAAATTATAATATACAAACATTCTTGAAAGCATACTACACGTGATTGATCAGAAAAGATGTACGAATGTACACAAACTTTGTCTTTTTTTCATCTGTTGTAAGAGAATTGAAGAGACACAGCATGAGTAATCTTTAAACACAATAATATTATCGAAATGAACAACTATTTAATTACACTGAGCTAGGTACAGCTTAATATTATGACATATTATTAGGACGTCTTTCTCTAGCATTTATACTAAAAAAAAAAATCATTTTAGTGCAGTGCCTGCAACGCTGTTTTCCATATGGAATGTTTAAACGCCAGCAAGCCTTGCCCAAAGTGCGAACGCAGGCGAAAACGAGTGGATCTGCCTCTCTTGGATATGACAAGTACAGATGTTCCGATTGACAATCTAACTTCCACTTCAGTATCCATTACTTAGCGAACGTGATGATCAAGTCTTTCTGAAAGTGACACGGGTTTTTGCGATAACTCATCTTCATCGCACTTCAATTGCTTTTGCTAGCAGTATTCCTTGATCGCTCTCAAATTGTCTAATCTCCAAGCAACTCGAGAATCGTAACAAGTCTCACACTATTGCTGTACTGTGAGGTATGTATATAAATGTACAGGCACTGAAATGCCTTGGGGTTTGTGAAATGGTTGACTATGGTGTAAATAAACATTTAATTCGTTACAAAGACGTACACATTAACTGTAGACAGAACATGAAACGAGTGTCATAAGTCATAAACGAAACATTGTTATGAGTATCATAAGTAGGGAAACGCATGTTAGTGCATATGTTTCAATAATTTGCTGATTAATTGAGAAACCTTGGAATTTTAAATTTTATAACAAACACAAATAATATACAAATGCTTTGCAAAATAAAGAGAAAATGGACCGTATAAGAATCATAATTCAATGCTCATCATTAAAACTTTGTCTTATTTGATAATAATGTTGTGTGTGCAGTAATACGGAGTTAACATAAATAAGAATGGAGAAAGATAAGTTGTACAGGAAATACTTATTTTGTCATGTGTGCTTTAATAAGAGTCAATTTGTACTTTAAACAGGAATCACCTTTTCCTTTTTGTTAGTAATAATAGTTTGGTACACTCTGTGATCTTATCAATCTGAGAATGACTCGTAATTATTTATAATCTGCCATTTGACTGTCAGCAAATTGTGATTACGCCAAGAACTTTCTAAGTACATTCCAACGAAGTAATCACAAGAAAATGACTGAAGTCAATTTTACCTACCAATTTTTCATTGACCTCTTTTAGAACTTATAACATATCTATCGTTTTGTTGTGTAACACTCAATGGATAACAGTAGCTTGGCTTACTTCCATCTTTTTTATATCTTAAACGAATTCCAAAATTCCATGACACAAACCGAGTCATTCTACAACTTTGCACTGATGACCATTGCCTTGAACACATTACATCAAATTAATGTAATGATTTAGGAAAATATGATGAAGGTAATAAAGGCTTGTCTGAGACAGCCCGCCTCAGTCCTCCCTGCATGAGACCATTAGCATTTTTTGTCTTGCCACTGGTTCCAGAAAGAGGAGGATTGTTATTTTCTATGATGGCTGGCACTGTCGTGGATGTCGTTGCAGCATTACCAGTCATCTTGTTTGAAATACCTATTCTATCCATTGGCGTACTTGTAGACGATATTTGGCCGGTTTTATTGAATGTCGCCAAACCTACTGTACTATCCGTAATACCAACACCCGTAGGTCGCGTTATAGTACGACCAGTATGATTGATATTTGGATTTTGAATTGTGGGATTCTTCAAAGGCAAATTGGACATTGGATTGGACTGTGTGACAGTAGACTGAACCGGTGTACGGATCTCGAACCTATTGGGTAAGAGTTTATTTGTTCGAGGCAGTGTTAACTGAATCGAAGAAGGAACAGCTATGGGAGCTGCAACTGTCGCACTCTGCAAAGGTGACTGATTGTCTGCTAATCGCCTGTTCAGCCAACTGATCACTGCAATCAAAAAAGAAAATCAAATACATTTAAAACTAAACTTGAAGGTTGATTTATAACTATATCGTTATGTATGAGAAGTAAAACTATTATAATCCATATTAAATGGAATCTGACACAGCAAAACATTTTCTACATTTAATACCACTATTTGTAATTAAAAATCATACTTTATATAAAAAGTAATTTCAACCGTTCAAATTCATTGCCGCTGATTTAATATTTTTTATCGGATCTATGTACTTAATATAAGTACACGGAAATTCTTGAAAATAACATTTTTCAGACGATCTTACAATTAGAGAAGAATTTAACATTTGCTTTCGAATTACGATAAACTTTTACATAATTCCTTAAATTTGTTGTGGCTTTCGGGAATTTTACATAATTTATACTCAGTTCGTTATAATAATTTACTTCTCAAGTTGATATTTTGATATCGAGTAACCAATGTGGTTGCTAAGTTTCTAGATTTTGAATTACCATTATCATTATTCCTTATAATTCTATCTTTTTCCTCCAATTGATTCTGGAAATTCATAACTTGCTTTTTTAAATTCTCAATTTCTGCTTTTGCTTCCTTTGCTTCTTTTCCATAACTCTCTAATTTACTTTCTAATTGACCAATTTCTTTTTGTTTCGCATCAAGAAGTCTTTCTTGTTCAAGTGCTATACTGGTCCTTAATTTTAATTTTGACTTGGTTGAAGCAAGTTCATTTTGTAATTTAGTGAGTATCTCGTTAGCCTTTACTAACTCTTCGCTTAAATTCCTTAAAGAATTCTGTTTTCGTTGCAATTGACTTTCCTTCTCCGTCAAAAGTTCTTCTAAATGTTGTTTCTGTTCTTTGGCTGCTCTTATCATCTCGGTATGTTTGTCAATGAGAATGCCTTTATCCTTTGTTTCTTGCTCAAGCACAGCAACTCTTGTTCTCAAACTATTTACTGCTTTATCTCTATCATGGTAGTCAACATCTAGTTTTGAATTTTGTTTCTTCAAGTTACTCAAATCTCGTTGTGCAACATTCAACTCTTTTTCAACTTGCTGCAATTGCTTTACTTGCTCCTTATTGGTTGCCTCCAGAAGGGACTGCTTATCTTTCAAAGTCATATTTTGTGCTCGCAATTCCACTAACTCTGTATGCAACTGCCTAACTGCTTCGGTATGTCTTTGTTCCGTTTCCATTTTGTCTCGTTCACTTTGTCGATGCCATTCAACTCTTGCTTGCACTAACCTATAAAAATACATGCAATATTATCGTATAACATAATTATTATATACAGACATACTCTCAGAAGCCTCACCTATCTTTCTCTATATTAATCTGCTGAGACAAGTTCTGCTGCAGTTCATTTTTTTCAGAAAAGCATTTTTGTTCCAACTGCTCTAACTCTTTTGTTTTTACTTCGAGTCTACTCGCTAATTCATTCAGTCTACTCTCTGTATTTACAACATCTCTATTCTTTTGCATAATATTTTCTTTTAATTGCTTAATCTTTGTTGCCATATGTGTTTTAAGATCAGAATCACTTGCCGGCGCTATATTTAAACTTAAATGGCAAAGATGTTTGAAATTGTTTGTTTCAACCACCTTGAAAGACCATTCCATAGCCTCCTCCGCCAGGAATAGGAGAAACTTTGGCGGTGTCTTTGAAAGACTGGACGCTGGAATGTGACACTGTTCCAAAAGACATATCAACTGCGTTGCAAAGTTGTCGAAATCAACGAGTAAGCCCTGTTGCGTTTTCAGTACTTTAAAATCATCTTCCGTAATAAATAAAGAATACAAAAAGCATGGATCATCATCATCTGACAGCAAGACGCACAAGCTCTAGAAACAAACATATATGTAATGCAGCCCCCTGCAATGAATACGATCAGTTAGACATATCAATGTTATTAAATTACCTTACGACAAACAGGACTGATACCGGCGTGAATCTCTACGTTTACTCTCAATTCTCTTTGACGTTCCTCCTTGAGTTGAGGCTTAATATAAACTCTCTGCACCTTCGTATACAAGACGTCAACATTGTTTAATTGAAGACCAGCATCGCCAGTCGCTCCACAGATTCCTAGGTTGTTCATGCAATTCATTGTCTCGCGGATTAAACTGAAATCGCCGTCTGCTCACCGAATGTCCGGAACTTTGAACGGCGGGACAGAGGACTTCGATTTACGATTCATTTGGGATTTTTCGAAAATTTGCCCGAAAAGGCTACGACATTCAAATTGCTACTCGCCAGACGCACGCGTGCCGATGGTGCTGCCCTCCTGTCATCAGGTGTGAAAATTAATGCTTCTCCCACAATGGAAGCTTCCGTCCGAATCAGGGTTGAATTTTTCCAAAATCTTCGCTTCCTGATTGGCTGAGATTTAGTGTCATTTTACGAGTAGCGAGATACGTGGAACGGTGGCGAGCGTTCCACGTATCGAGTTAACTATAATAGCTTATAGTCTACTTGCTGATTTTTTTCAGTCTACGAATCTCTTCTTTAAATCCATTTAAATTAAACCGCCTTTTTACCAGCCAATCGCAAACGCGAGTTGGTCTTTTTGTCAAGTTGCCGGACAAAAAGAAATGGACTGTAACAGAATTGGCTCCTTACTTTTTCGTAATTACGAGCTTCCAGTGAAAACATCGTTCGCTTGAATATTAATATTTATGTTAAATCAACCGAGAAAGTAAATATTTATTTTTATTTAAATTAGAACATAACGGAATATGGTATGCAAGGGCTCTACCCGTGCTACGTTCCCGCGCATTCAAAGAGAGCGCTTCCCATTGGCTGGCGGAGGGAGAACCAACCAATAGATTGCCACATCGCAATGACGTTTCTTTAAAGCGCCTCTCACCCGCCGGCTGCAGTTAGGTTACCGCAAAGCCTCCTCGCGAGTGCCCCTACTCGATCATCCAAGAGACCATGCTTTCTCTTTCTACCGTATCCTCTTCGCGAGTGCGACAAAGGTGAACATACAAAAACTGATAGACGGTATTTCGACCAGTCCCCTTCCTCATCCCTCGTACCGACTTGATCAGACAGTAGCATAAATATAGTGAGGCGCGACGGTTGCAGTTAGTGGTGCCGCCATCCACCATGCCATGCGGTTCGCAGTTGCCGCGCCCGTACCGCCACTTTTCTCATTTTCTACGAAACGCGACACTGACGCAATAATTATCAGGAGTGTATACAGTGTGTATCCAAAATGCGTGATAACAAGCGTACCGACTGATCGTGCTCGTTTTTGTCAACAAAGGAAAAGAAGTCTTCCCGGAGAAGAGAGACGGTGCATTCGAGATCGGTTGACTTCAAGTAATCGAGATCATTCGAAATACCAAATGGATTTCTTTCTACTATAAACAGGTAACTTCGAACTGTGTCAGTTAGCCTGTTATTTTGTTAACCGTCATACGTAAATTTGAGTGCACACGTTGACAATCGACGCATTTGGTTCATGTCTGCATACAGTAGGACGGAATACTTTCGCTTTCTGCGTGTTCTGTTATTTCATAGGTCGATCGGTTGCATTGCGAGATCGTAAACTATGGACCAATTGGAGTGCACGTATGAGTGGCGGATGAACGCCAAGGTAATCGAGAAACCACTAACTGGCCAACGGGAATTTGCATCGAGTGTAATATAAACACTTGTTTTAATGCAACGACCCACATGTATACGAATACGTTTTACTTAGTATTTGACAGAGAAGGCATGCTTAGGCAATACCTGATTACTCTTATAGTTTACGTTGAAAGATAACAGTTGATAAACATTGATATTGATTTTAAACCTATTTAAATCTACTCGAAGGGCAACAACTTGTAGGCCCTTTTAAATATTGAAGAAAGACTGTCAGTATTTTTCTAGAGTACGATTGGTCATGCGTCGCCTCTATTCCGAAGTTCTACAGAGATGACAATATGTTTACAAATCAAAGTGAGATAGTTCATAGTAGCTTATAACAATTGATATAACTACGACGTTATAATTTGCTGCTCAGCCTATTTATGAAAATTGGAATTTAAAAAGGTCATCGATATCCAGATTCTATAAACGATCTGTCTTAATTGGCAACTATCGTGACGATATGCTGATACTTGACATTGTCATTAACGACAGTGAATATAACAATCTTCGGATTTAGCCAGTTTTGTCAATGTTTATCTGAAAATTTTCGTTACCTACTATGCCGGTCAGTGTCCATATTGTGCTGCCACCTCGTGGCGTTTTATAGAAACTCCAACTGAGTTGGGTTGACCCGATAAAGGCCAGTTGATGGGTTCGAGGCGTCCGCCATTGGATTCGTCGGGAAATGTGAAAGTCTCGCGAATAAGCTGCATTAAATAAGCTAAAATTTGTTTAAATTAAGTATCCGACATAGTAAAATTGTGGATTAAAGGGAACTACCCCCAAGGCCAAAGAAATGAAAAGCGAAACAACAATAAGATAATAAGACCTATACAGAAACGAAAGTATACACGCTATAATACATCCTACAACCCTGCAAAACCCTGGCTTAAAGGGGAACCAACCCAAGGCCAAAAAAAACGAAACAAAGAAGATAAAGGCCTGTTCAGACATCTTCGTGCACGTCCGTCCGTACACTGCTGAAAATATAGTCTTAAATTTATATTGGGATGTTCATACGTTTTCGCGTTCCTATTTGTCAGTGCTTCGGCTGACGTAGTATCGACATGCAGCAGGAAATCAAAAGAAGTCCAGATTTTTCTCGCTATCTCGATGTCCACAGACATACCGAACCGCGGCATCGAGAAGGTCGGAAATGTGAGAATACGGACACGGTACGGATATGTTTGAATCGGCCTTAAAACGACAGTACTCTAAAGCGGATAAAGCTCGCAAGGACTCGCAGTGGAAGAATGCCAAATTGCTAAGAAAGGCAGTAAATACTGTACCCCAAATCGGGACTGCATATCGTTCTTCCTGGCAATACGCAGTCAGATGTTATCAGTCATATCGATATTACGTCTCGGAACGTGACATTTATAAATTACCATAACCACGTGAAATTTTAACATCGGTTTCGAGAGTCGCGAAACATGTTATAAAATTCCAGTCTCGATGGTTTCAGGACAAACGGATGAATTTCTTGCAACTCGTGCCGGGGGAAAGTTTTTTCTTCCCTTATCACATGGATAACGAGTAACCAAATCGTAGTTGATCGACTGACTGGGGACCTTGAAATGCTGAAAAGAGATATGAAAAATCTAGCAATTGGCGTGGACCCCCTCTCTACCCGTGCGTGACTAGGCGTCGATCGATCGGGGCTGAAATCACGGTGATTCTTGCTAATGCCACGGGGGAAAAAAGGGGCTTCTAATCTGGTGCGACGGTCTCCTCCGATATCCCCGAGAAACCTTACCTCGCGGAAGCGCAGCCCGTTTCCTGGTTTATTTGACAGAGGCCGTATGCGGGAAATGCGCCGACAGCAGCCGGTTCTCGTCCTCGACGTATCGACCCTCGGCACCGGCCTTCTTCGTCCTTCTTTCTTCTTTCCTTTTATCGCCACCACTTTCATAAGGATGGTTCTGCGTTCATCCAATGTTATCGTACCGTCTATCCACATTTACGAAGCCGATCTCGATTATGTCGGCGGTTTTGCTTAAACGCAAACGCGTACTGCATGGAGAGCAGATATTACGTTGATAAGAGCCACTTGAGACCTGATAAATGCGCGGTACGATAGTAGTCTTAGTATTTGGAAAAATTCAGTTCCCGTACTCTTCATTCTCTTCTTCATTATCTATTAGATAAGAACAAAGTACCTCCACATACGTCGGTTATTTTTTAATTAAGGACCAATTCTCCGGTTTGTACAGTGTTGGGCATGTACATGTCCGCTTATTCATTGGCGGAATCATGTCCCTATGGGAAGAGTTTATGCTCGTCCCTACACAAACCGGAGACGGATCGGACGTGGGTAAAGGAACCATTACAATGTTTGCGCTCATGCACTTAGAGATGTACTTGGCACGAAACTCTACCGAGTTTCTTGATCCGGGATGGCGATAGCAAGGCATAACATATATATAAATAATTCATGGATGTACAAAATATATAGGAACAGGCACACTTACATCATTCGTATCCTCGAATAAAACTAATAAAGTTGGAAAAGCAATAATTCGTCGACTCCGAGGGAGCGATTCGTTACTTAATATTTCCTGGCACTTTGTATCAGGATTTTGATTTATTTCATTTTCTTCTCTAACGCTCTCTGACAGGACAACGGTGGAGATATTTCGGTTGGTTTATCGAGGTGGAGAGTATCTTCAAAAAGCCTCGGCAGGTCTGCTAGCTTTCCTTCGGCTCACTGGAAGAGTCTGTTTTTTACCTTCGTTTCCCGAGAGCGTTTCCATGGGTTTCCGGATTTTCTTGGTTCGCGGATTTTCTTGTCCGTGCCGACCACCGACGCGCAAACGTCGCGATCCCGCTATGCATTTTGCGTGGGTTTTTACTTGGACTAATGCCACAGCAAAGGAAGAAGGAAGCCGGGTCTCGCCTGTTAGACTGGCAATCCGACTTGTTCCTCGAGACTGGTTAGAACCTCGGCATGCCGACGGGCAGGTTACTTTTTCCAGCCTCACCGGTGGCACAAAGCCCCTGGCCCTGTCTCCATTCGAAAATCGCTGAAAGCAGACCCAACTGAACAGGAAAACTCGAAGGACATTTAGGGATTTTCTCGTTGTTCGGGCTAGTCCTTTGGGTACGACCTGGAACCATTGAAAATTCGAATGTCTTGATCACGAAGTAGTATAGGATTTAACGCCATGTATTGATCACGAAGTAGTATAGGATTTATGCCATGTATTGAAATCGTCTCCACCTTAAGGTGATTTGAAAATGGCGTGGAGATGTTTCGTTTATGAAACTCTTGAAACTTTTTAAACGGGAAATCTCGAAGGACGTTCGGGGATTTTCTCGTTGTTCGAGCTAGTCCTTTGGGTACGACCTGGAACCATTGAAAATTCAAATAATGTATTGATCACGAAGTAGTATAGGATTTAACGCCATGTATTGAAATTGTCCACACTTTTAAAGTGATTTGAAAATGGCGTGGAGATGTTTCGTTTATGAAACTCTTGAAACTTTTTAAACGGGAAATCTCGAAGGACGTTCGGGGATTTTCTCGTTGTTCGAGCTAGTCCTTTGGGTACGACCTGGAACCATTGAAAATTTGAATGTCTTGATCACGAAGTAGTATAGGATTTAACGCCTTGTATTGAAATCGTCCTCACTTTTAAGGTGATGTGAAAATGGCGTGATGTTTCGTTTATGAAACTCTTGAAACTTTTTAAACGGGAAATCTCGAAGGACGTTCGGGGATTTTCTCGTTGTTCGAGCTAGTCCTTTAGGTACGACCTGAAACCATTGAAAATTCAAATAATGTCTTGATCACGAAGTAGTATAGGATTTAACGCCATGTATTGAAATTGTCCCCACTTTTAAGGTGATGTGAAAGTGGCGTGATGTTTCGTTTATGAAACTTTTCTCCGAATTGAATGTACCGAGTCGTTTCAAACTTGACAGGGTGAATATGGAAGCTATGAAGAAGGTCCTGACACTCACGAAATTTCAAATTTTCGAAAATTTATTTACAGATGTTTTCAACATTTACTTTAAGGAATGAAATTGCATGACTTTCAGGACCTTCCTTAAAGCCTCCATATTCACGTTGTAGAGTTTGAAACGATTCGGGACGAGCAGGCAGTACAATTATTTTTCTTATATATTAAATATTTATACATTCTACTTTTATGCATTTTCGCTCTGTCGTTATTGAATACTGGGACGTAGATCGATTTCTTGAGCTTGGAGATAATAGCCCTGCGGAGGCTCCAATTCTCATAGCACGAACAAAATCAATTCTGCGGTGTACAACACGTTTACGGTGGATAAAACTTAGTAAATGGCATTTTTCTTGCACCGTCTGAATCTCGAGGACTAGGATCTGTATTTTTTTTTTTTCCTCCCAGGACTCGGTGCTCCCTAAGCTCGCGAGGAACCCATCCCTTAGAGCGTGAAAATGAGACTGCGCGGAGGAACGTTTTTAAAGAGAGATAAGGTGATATCGCGGAGCGACTTTAAGCTCCGAACGATCGAGCCGTCGAAGCAATAACGCGAGCTTAAGGTCAATTCACATCGGCTCAACGACACGGACGCAGAAACGAGTGTCGATAATCGTCATTAATAAGTATCTCCAACGGATAAATAGTATCTTATGGTGACACGAAACCGTTTTAACTTTGTTAATTAACCGTTCGAGTTAGGACAATTGTGCCCATAATTATGAAAGTGGTCTAAGTCAAAATAATAAAAAAATGAGTTTATCAGGTATTTCA